ATCACACAAACAGATGGATGAGATATGCAATCATCAGCTCATAATTTGATAAAGAACGCTTCCGCGATTTCGCGAGCCATTTTGTCTTTGTGACTGTGTCATTGAAAAAAATTAATGACTGATTTCTCTGTCATACTGATTAGTACAACATTAAAGTGAAACGTGTCTTCTCAAATGTAGTTGAGCATTCTCAACGTGATAGCATTTACAAGCTCGTTTCATAGAAATCATCATCTTATGCGTCACCGAGAAACATGCAAATAAATAGATATTAAAACATCCTGGCTCAGATTGGGGTTCGAACCCGGGTCTTCTGGGTCGAAGAGGCAATCAAAACCAGGTCCCTTGCGTGGCAAGCGGATGTTCTACCACACAACCACGCCACTGTTTGTGAATACAGTGAAAATAATTTCCTCTGCCTTGGAAATGCAGTGAAAGTATCTCGTGCTTTACACGCATCCTGTATACATGCTGCACAATGCACAATGAAATATTGCAGTAATATTACATGGTACAAGCATAACATTGCCATCGGGCGTCAAAACTTGTGATTATCATAATGACTTCATTGTTTGAAGCACGTCACCGACTACAAAAGGCACACGTTAGTGCGTCTATCCCCTTAAGGCCACGTAGTGGGTGCATAGCAAGTTCGAAAGAATTTCATGAACCAAGTATTTTCATGAACCAAGTGGAAATTCAATTCGACGACATTTTTCCTAATAATGCCAAATTACTTCCCCATAACATTTTGGATGGTTTACTACAAGATCACCTGCGCCGTATTACAACGAACGTTATTATTGCTACAGACGCATCGCAATACGACGAAAAGTCAGGGGTTGGTATTTTCAGCCCGATTTTAAATTGGATTTATTCCCTTCGACTACCCGATTTCATACCCGTTTTTGTGGCTGAGTTTCTAGCAGTAGTGCTCGCCTTATGCAAGTTAGATACAGCAATTACATCAGCTGTCATAATAACAGATTCCCTATCTCTCTGTGCGGCACTTTCTGTTGGTGCTAATAATCACGTAACAAAGGCGTTCCGTGCACTAGTGCATTTGAGAAAAGTACGATTAGTTTGGGTGCCTGGACAAAAAGGTTTGTTTCTAAATGAAATAGCCGATTCCTTAGCTAAGTCGTCAATCAGCCAACCAATTCTACCGCTCTGTCCATGATCCGCTTATGTGAGTGCTGCTCGATTCCGCAGACGTACGCTTATGCAAGTCTTTAAAGGTTCAGCACTAACAAACTCTACAGAATATCGCCATTTATTATATCCCTGGCGAAGAGACTTTTGCCGCACACGAAAACAAGAAGTAGCTATCACAAGGCTGCGTTGCCGGGTACCAAATCTGAATTTCTATAAACACAGGTCTGCTCAGGCACCTTCGCCACTGTGTGCATTCTGTGATGAACTGGAAACAATAGACCATTTCTTTTTGACCTGCAGGCGGTTTAACACATTACGAAAAACCCTATTAGAAATACCTTTACGTGGTTTGGTATGGACTTATCTCTGCCTGTCATTTTGTCTTTTGGAGCTTCCATTTCTGGTTTCTCTAATGCGACAGTATGCGTGGCCGTCCGGGACTATATTGATGAAACTAATAGGTTGACTAGTTAACCAGTTTGATTATCCTAACAGGTCCACATAATTATATACGTATAAAATCAGATTATTGCTCTATTCTAAGAATAAATTCGTTTATGTAAATATTTGTATGCATTACATTAAGCACCACACTTTCCTAGGCTATCGGTAATCTTTCTGTTAAACCTCCATTATTCCAAATCTGAACAGTAAATTTTGAAACCACTCGATTCTTGGCCGATCCCCCACAGTGGGTATGCGCCACTAACAATAGGAAAACAACAACAACAATATTTAAAGCACGCACTTGTGACAGGATATCACTATTGCATTTAACACTTAAAGGCGAAGCTTAAGAGTCCCGCAATTTTCGGTGGATTGTCTCACGACATGATCGAACGAATGAATGATATAGCAACAAGTTGTGTTTTCACACAAAGAACGTCAAGCCACCCGAAACTTGCAACTAGTTCCTCAATAGGAACAAAAACGCATCAAAAACAAATACACAGGCCGGACGCGAACAGGTCTCACTCCTGGACACTTAAAGTGCTCTGGTCAAACCCAAAGAAGGAAGCATGGAACGAACACACAACTATACATTCAGAAAGGAACACTCCTTACTCCTTTCTTGCTGAAGCGTTTTCGCAGAAGTGACACACCACCACCCATGACAGGTTTCTCCTCTACGCGCAATGCCGGGCTGATCTCAAGTACATTTGTTTGGAGTGGCCTGTGTACAACCAACCTATAGGTTTCAGGTCCTCGCCTTCTCTCCGGACGTGGGCCTGCCCAGAGCATTCGCCCCCAGATTGTGCCATCGAGTTCTGGAGAAGCACTCATCTTGTGCCTCCAGGACCCAGCCACGCCACCGGTCGGTGACACTGCTCCGCGACAGCCACATTCAAGTCATTCAGCGGCCCCACTTAGCTGCCTTCATGTAGTCCGTTCATAAAATGGAGGCAGCTCTACCCCCTCCATCGTCCTTAGTGCCTTGCCCTTGTCCCTCGCAGCGCCCTCAGCGTGAACAAAGCGGAATAAACGTGGTTTCATTCATCCACAAGCATACACAGGACGAGCACGGACAAAATCACAGTTATGACTTTTGTGTGAGCAGCGTGCTGCTTTCACCAGCGTGGCTGCTGCAGCGAGTGAAGTGACCTTCGTGCTCTCCGTAACTTCAACGCCTACTTGCAAGGAAAGTCCAAGACATGCAAACCACCCCGGTCACGAGATGGGGCGCGTGTGCGCATCGCAAGGCGCGGGGCGACGACCTTTAAAACACGCCCTCAGCACCATTCACGCCTTCTCGCCAGTGATAAGAAAACACGCAAAAGCCACTGATCTCTGAGTACCACCAGCGGTAAATAGTGCACATAAATAGCTAGCCGTTACCAACCTGCCGAACGTTTTCTTGTCGAGTCGGTTCACGCCGCGTGCTGTGGAGCGAGGGGTCATAGGTTCGACTGTCAGCAAGGGAACTTATTCTTCTAGTATCTTTTTTGGCATCTCTTAGACTTGTATCTCACAACGTCTTATCTGCGACAGAAAAACGTCAGTGGAGCCATGGTGGACGCTAACATAGAACCCTCTCATGTTGAAACGGTTTCACCAACACGATCTGCAATGGGCCGGAATATGTGAATTCGACGTTCTCTTTAAAATAGTATTGTGCGGGCGAAGTCCATCGTTGGTGCATATACTGGACTAACCTATCGGCATGTTTCCACAGGAGATGCGAATACTAAAAACCACACCAACAGGACAGGCCTATCTTATCTCTCCTCTTTCTTTATTCACGTGCGGTGAGTGCTCCGTCTTCAATATATTTCCCCTTCTACTATTCTTGTTTATTCCCTTGCCCTGCAAAGAGCTTAGCCCTGTCGCCTTCGAAGAAAACAGAAATTAGCTCCTTCTTCTTTCCTTCAAGAGCCACTACCACCGAGACATTCTGATGCTTTACCAAGCAACTTGCCTCAGCTGTTCCTCTAGCTGTCTTCTCAATCGCAGGGCAAGCTTTACCTATTTCAATGTTTGAAGAAAACAGAATGTCGTCACTAAAAGGTTTAGCTATTTCAATAAACCGTGTGACGGTCGGTGCACGTAAGCCATGAGAGCATATTTCTTGAACTTATCACCCAACTCGGCAGTTTGAACAAAGCGGGATTTACGCTCATTGATAAGTCTCGCAGACCGTAACTCCAGCGAGCGCGCAGAGTGGTGTAGCGATTAATTGGTGCAGCGTTTACTGTGCTAAACTGCCGACCAGGAGAATTCAGTTTCGATCCCGGCCGCAGTGGTCGCATTTTTAATGGAGGCGAAATGTTAAAAGATCCGTGTAATCTGTGGTGTCTGCGCACGTCAAAGAGCATCAGGTGGTCGAAATTTTCGGAGCTCTTCCCCACGGCATGCCTCATAATCATATATAATTGTAATGGCTCATAAACATTCAGATATTAAAGGGACCCTGCAACATTTTTTGAGCATGGTCAGAAAACGCTGCCAATCGGTAGTAAAGACTCCCGACAACACGCAAGCCAAATATTATGGCGCAGCACGCGACCTGAAATGCATTATAAGTTATCGAATTCAGATGACAAATTGCTTTCTCTTCTCACGACAAATCATGGAATATACCCAAAAATCACACGTAGCAAGGCCATTCATCAGCCATTGGCTGATTTGAAGATGGCGCGCTCACTCGTTACAAAGATGGCCGCGGGAGGCCGCTACTTGTCCACGCATGCGCGCGCCATCACACTGAGAAGACCGCGAATTCGAAAAAAAAAAGAAAAAAAGCGCTCAAGGTCATGAGGCGCGTGTGACGTTTTTCTGTGGCCCTGCCATCCCCCCCTCCCCCTGCTTAGCTTCCAGCGCTTCTATTGCGACAAGAAAGAGGTAATTCAATTGCAGCATGCGACAAACCTTCGGAAATCCACCCCCACAGGACGGATTTTTAAAATTTTTGCGGCTTTGGATTCGCGAGGCAATAATCTTTTCAGCGAATTCATTCCATGGTTACCAGAAAAAGTGTTCCAGGGGCCCTTTAATATGTTAGCGATAACAAGTTGCACGAAATACTCGGGCGTTGCAGCATACACTGCTAGCCGCTCCTTAAACATTTCTGACATGCTGTTTTAATCAAACGACCACGCACTGGCCAGCCTTCACCCCGGGAGGGGCGCACGTGTTGAAGGGCAAGTCGACTGGCGCGCGCACAGCATCGTTGTCGTCTTCTGAGACGGCTCTACGAAAGCGCGCGACTGACGGGGTCTCTGCCGTGCTCCGATCGCGCTGCCGCAGCAGTCGCAGGACTGTCGGGAACAGCGGCAAGTGGTGGAAACACCTGCGCAGGATCTCGACGGGCAGGTGGGCGTGACACCTTACCGTGACCAGGTCGAGCGATGGGGGCCTATCTGGACACCATGAATGGTTCCACAGGCGAGGATGACCCTTCTCCTCCGGCTAAGAGACGAAGGACGGATGAAGGCGATGTCTCCCAGGAAGCGGTACGTGAACGCCCATCTTTTTACCTTTGTATGTGAATACACCTGCGGCTGAGAGACCCACTTGCTGCTTACCCTGCACTGAAGCGTACTATCAGAAATTTAACGCAGGAGGCTATCAACTACTATACGGCAGGAGTTGGGTGGGGTACACTATTTTTCCATCCTGATATTTGGCACAACACTATGCTTAGCAAGCGCGTATGTCGTTTCGTGATAGCATCGCGTCTTTTGATTTTGTTTCCTGCGCTGTTTAACGTAATAACTGTGATGATCTTTGGCGTAGCAAATAATTTATTAATATTTGGCCTTCTGTAGTGCCGTTCAAAGTCGATTAAAAGAAGCGAGTGCGCCAGTGTTGCCAGACAGTCGTGGCAATCCCGTGTTTATATAAATGCTCGTTACCAATAATTTATCGACCAATTGAGATAAAATTTCGCTTATTTGTGAACTCGGAAGACAATTAGCCCACATAACACCGAGTATGAGGAAAAATTGGGTGTCGCGTCATCTTCAAAATCAGAATAGCAGTGATAACTTGCTCTAGTAAAAGTGTCCCAATTTACGTTTATGTGTCTGACCCTTGCATCGCTGCCTGTGCAGGAGAAAGTGACACAAAAGCCACCAGAAATTGACGAGAACTTCTACTCTAGACAGATGTAAGTTATAGGTCTCTACTATCTGCAACTGCTCTAGGCCGAATGGACCTACGTGTGTGTATTTTGCGAGCCAACAAAATGTCATGACACGTGTAGAACTTTGCCCAGACACTTTGCCTTCGATAAAGTCTATGCTTTACAATGCACTGATATTACGAAATCCATACGAACTGTGCTTTCGTCATTGCATACGATGTACTCAGACTGATCATTGGCGTACCCTTGCTTTGACAAGTGTTTCTGCTTTGTTAGTAATCAAATCACTAACCTGACTATACACAATCATATTCATGCATTTTCACTGTTAGACATGGCATTCGACTGCTTTCAACGCAAAGTTCTTGCATGACCTACAAATAAAATACCCATCGAAGTCAGCAAATGATTCTAAAAAAAATCGCAGCATATCCACCGAGTCAAGTGGTGCGAAGCGCTGGAGGGTGACAAACACTGTATATATTTGAACAAGAAATTTTATTATTCGTAAGTGGTAGCTATAGCTATTACGTCACTTCCGTTCTCCTTTCATCATAACGACTTTATGGGTGGTGAAGTGGTGGTTCAGTGATGGGGCGTAGTGGCATGTTTACAAGGACGAATTAGTGGGCGAAGTAGTGGGCAAATTAGTGGGTAGTGGGCAAGGACGAAGTAGTGGGCAACTATAGGTGGTCGCGTACATACATATAAGGAATGGACATACCCACGCCTTTAGGAGTTTCACCCCTAAAAATGGGTTGATCTGCATAAATCCCTCTTATAATTTAATCTTTGGGCGAAAGCTGTTATTCCGCGCTACAAGCCCAGGAAACAACTTTGTTGGTGCATTTTACCTTGAAGCTCTCCCAGTCTTCCTTCTCTTGTGTTGTCATTGTGTGCTGTCATAGCAACGGACGTGCGCAGAGTATGATTTATTTATTTTTTTATACTCTACTGTAAGAACGTTAATAGGGGGCGAGAACATCTGTCCTCAACATCTTTTCACAAGCGTTATATGCATCTCGGTTCCTGTTTACGACCGGAAGTAAGAGTCACCCACTTCTGTTCCAGCTACGTCCTCGGGCGCGACGCCATGATGCGCCTGGCCCAATCGGACGTTCTCATTTCGGGCGTGGGAGGCCTGGGCGTCGAGATCGCCAAGAACGTCGTCCTCGCTGGCGTCAGGTCCGTCACCATCCACGACGAGCAAGTGTGCACCGGTGTGGACCTGTCGTCTCAGGTTAGAAACCACGTTGTCAACTTATTTATGTTTTTAATGTATCTATGCTTTCACGTAAATTGACGGATGCCGAGTTGTGCTCTAGCGACGCTATTGATTTACGAATGAATTATAAAACGAGCGTGTTTCGGAAAACTATGATAATCCTGATTAGCACGGAAAACGAGGCATACGTATAAACCAAAGCCTCTTCGCATCCATACACACCTGCCTATTTCTTTTTATTAGTGAGTGAATGAAATTAACTAGGCATATAATTACGTCATTATGCGTAGTGCAGTGGACTAATTGTAGTCCATTCATAGGTCGGTGAACTCACTCGGGAGTCGACTCACTCTGGCTCAGATCGAGTCGTGAGTTTGAGGCTGAGGAAGTGCGGGTGAGTAATATTTTCGTCAGTCTGAGTCCGAGGGAGTCCAACGCCCAACATGTATATCTTGAGCGAGTCTGAGTGAGTTCCCATTTTTTTCCGACCTAAAAGTTTATGTGAGTAAACAAGGCGCATTCAATTGAAGTGCTTGATTGTGGCACAGGAAATAATACAATGTTTCACTCAACAAAGTTCGGTTCTTGAAGCAAGGGAGCACCTACAAAACACCTACGTTTTCAGTCAAGCTCTTCAGGCGCAAACTATCTCGAAGACAGCGCCACCCGGGAGTTCTTGTTCAAGGTGAATACGCCTTGCACGCTCGCCGGCTGTTGATTGTAAGAACACAAAATATTGTAAAATACCCAATGAATGGTTATAAGAATTATGCTACATAATTTATTCCTGATTGAACAATTATGCGTATTTATGGTGTTTGTAATAAGCCATTACAAGTAATTGAATACCTTCGATTTTTTAACCATGCTTTATGAGACAGATGATTTTTGAACATGTGCGCTATTCACTCAAAAGAAACCCAGCCTGCATGACACCCTTTCATACAGCTTTTGCTCATTTTTATTTCTTATAATACACAGGTTCTTGAATAGTGGCAGTGTTGTGAAATATTCGGTACAAGTATATTTAAAAGCCTTGCAAATTCGTACAAAATGTCTCCTTTGACAGATGTAGTTTTGCTTGCACTAGACAACACATTACACCAGTGGTCAAGATATTCATACGTAGTTGAAATGAGTTAAGCGTAGGTAACAGCGTAAACCGAAAACTTAGGAACGTGTTCAGCACTTGTAGTATATTGTCCTCCGTGTGACCATGCCTACATAACTCCAGCAACGTTCGCTTCATCGTTTCCTTTGTTCCAGTACTTCCTCGGTGAAGCTACTGTCGGCGAAAACCGGGCAAGTGCCTGCGAGGCTCCCCTGGGACAACTGAACAAGTACGTGCGGGTGACAGCCCATACGGAGCCGCTGACGATGGATTTCCTGAAGAAGTTCACCGTGAGGGAATATCATTGCTTTCGTAACTATGGAGCAGCATCACCTCGAAAAGCATGAACAGCTACTTACGCAAGTACTACTAACTTGTAGAAGTATACACAGAAAAAAAATCACAGCATATCCACTGATTGAATGATAAGGAGTGGGGCGAAGCGTCCATTAATCCGTCCGTGCTTCCGTCCATACGTCCATCCGTCCATACTTACACCCGTTCGTGCGTTCGTTCATGGTTCATGAGTCATTTCGTGTGTTCGTCTGTCCGTGCGTCCGTGCGTCAGTCCATCCGTACCTGCGACTTCTCGTGCGTCCACCCGTGCGTCCATTCGTCCGCCCGTGTGTCTGTCTGTCTGTCTGCTCATCTGCTTGTCTGTCTGTCCGTCCATGCGTCCGTCCGTGCATCTGTCCATGCGTCCGTCCGTGCATCTAGTGAACACTTCAAGTACCACCATCTCGCTTCTTTTTATCTTATATTCATCATGTACAAGTACCGCCATCCAGCGGACGATCCGAAGACTAAACAAGAGTAGGTACCATATTTTTGTTGTCAGCACTTTGTTAACACCAAGAGCGTGATAATAACGCCATTCTACGTTTTTCGTATGTGGACATTCGGGTAGGTTCCCGAGGGCGGATATGCGTTTTTGGTATGAGGGCATATGGCACAGGTTATGCACAGCGACAACGGGGGACGCACAAGCCACGCGATAAGGCGCTTCGCCCCTAAAATTTTAAAGTGGTTTGCTAATGCTGGTATTAATACATCCATTTGTCCAACTTAATTATCACTTTTGTAAAGGTGGGAATGTAAAGCATGCATCATAATTTCGTCCAAACAATTTATTTCAGCAGAAAATTTCAGGTTTTCATAATTAGTCGTCCGAGATCATTTGAAAATCGTAGTCGTGGTAATTGACAACGGCGGTGTTCAGCGTCCACGCATGGCATCAGGTTACGCTTAAATGAATGCGCCACAGCAGTTCAGACATCACAGTGGCACAAGAAAGATTTTGATTATTGGTATGAATACCTATTTTTTGCTTATTTAAAGCTTTAGTTATTCGGATGGTACTCTGGTCTAATAACAGCTTCATCACAATGGCATTATTTCTTAGGCATGTAAACTCGCCACCATTTCATCCTTTATTTCTATTCAGCGCATGCATACTGCAGTATTACCGTACCTTGAATTTTACAGGCAGTATATTGCAGTACAAGTTCCCTTTCCTTGCGTCTCTAGGCTTTTTTGCGCAAGTCACGTGTGCACCACATGTCATTGTGCATTGAGGTTTTCCTAATCAAACATGTCTCAATTAGTTCACATATTTTCCTTCACTGTTATTACGATCACGAAGCGCATGTGTGCTTCTGTAAAAATTAGTACCGTTATGCTAGTCCCACCACTGCACCGACGTTTCACGTATTTATGGACTTTCCATTTGTGTGCATATTATCAGAACCACTGCTGCTATTGCGCCATAGAATGACATAATTAGCATGCATTCTGACACGGAGAACGCGTCACCACTGCACTTTTTGGTGAATCTAAATTTTCCTGTCACATCGCGACCCCTCCTATAATACTTTTGTGCTTCTCTGTTTAATTATGTAGAGACTCGCTGAAGCCTTAGATATCGCTTTCTGGGATACAGTCGCACCCGTAGTTTCTTCTAACTCCTGTGGCGGCTATACGAAATCATTTCTGGCACGATTGCTGTGTAATCCGATTCGTTGGTGGTAACCACAATGTTTAAAGTGTTTTCTTGAAGGCCAATGGGATTATTGCGATGTTCAATACAGGCACCTGTATCAATGATTAACGTAATCTACACCGGGCGAATAAGGTGTACGAGATCCAGAGGGCTCCTATGGTCACCTGTCTACCTCTTCATTGACACATTATGTTGATTATATTGTTGTTGTATCAAATTATCTTACTACAAAGATTCTACATGGTAGCGCAACTTTATGCATAAGTACTCACGAGATGATTTGGAGTGGCTAAATATGCATGGTGAGGCAATCAAATTCAAAGCGCAAGCAATGATATGCAGGGATGGCTGTCTTGGAAGTAAAAAGCGTTCGAATGCTTAAATTGTTCACGTAAACGCAGCCATGAGGAGCAGCGACCACCAAGACACCTAATCGTGTTTTTGGCAGGTTTAGGCTGTACAAAACTGTCAAGCCTGAAGTTTTCTGCAGCAGGCCACCAGTAGTAGTTCATCACCCAGTATAACCATTTGGAAGTGCCGTATCTTCATTCAGTGCGACCTACTGCATAAAGAGAACTGCAGAACTGAACCTAAATTGAGAGTAGCGGCTTCAGATAGGAGATAACTTGGTATTTCGATATTATATAAATATCGATTTACTAAATAAATAACGGAAACGCTTGCTCTTTTCAGCAGATTGCCTTAGGGGCCTGTATATGGAAAAGGTTGGCCGTTCACACGTTTATTCTTTTGTGTCCGAAGTAATAAGTTTCAGGTGCAATTTTTATTCACGACCTCATCAGGTGGTCGTGTTGACCGAGACCCCGCTGCAAACTCAACAGTCTATGGCCGCCTTCACCCACGAGAACAACATTCCTCTGATCATTGCCGATACCCGGGGCGTGGCTGGGTGCGTATTTTATTATTAGTGCTTTAGAGTGCTTACATAACAAACATCGAACATTTAAAGAGCTAGAGCGTTCGCCTTCTTAACGTCGACATGGTGTGCATAATGCTTATTTATTCGTGTGATGCCAATAAAGCACACGTGTTCGATTGGTTCTAAGTATTAAAAATATCCGGTGCGGTTTTTCGTCTACCCCACCTCGTCACGCAGCGGAACGGCCGTCTTTTTGTGCGTCACCAGGCTGTCGTGGGTGATTTAACAATTTCGTATATTGTGTATTGTACTGCACAAGCGTTTCCAAAAGTTTATTAACAGAATCTCAAAAATTCCACGCATATATGAACGAGTGGTGTTTTCAGAAGGTGGCTAGCCATGGAGTATCAACTGTGGGGAGGGTGGCAGCATGATTTTTTTGTGTAACTGCGCGCCCTCTTTCTACGTATTACGGAGAGAGGACGCGACGCCCCACGCTGACCCGTTATAGCGCCTAGGTGTGGCCAGAGCTTAACGCCACGATTGTCCGTAATATTTCCGTCAATCCAAGTGCTGGGCATGTGATAGAGGAGCTGGCTGGCCAATAACACAACGTTCATGAAATAAGGAACCCAACTGAATCACAGAGGCTCGCCTTGCCAATGGCCGGTCACTCTTACTAACGACATCTAGGAGTCGGAAAAAGCGGCTGAAGGTTACTCTTACGAACAATTCTAAGCGTTAGGTGTGTGTGTGTGTGTGTGTGTGTGTGTGTGTGTGTGTGTGTGTGTGTGTGTGTGTGTGTGTGTGTGTGTTTGTGTTTGTGTTTGTGTGTGTGTGTGTGTGTGTGTGTGTGTGTGTGTGTGTGTGTGTGTGTGTGTGTGTGTGTGTGTGTGTGTGTGTGCGCGTGCGTGCGTGCGGGCGTTTTCATCTTACTTTCAACACTGATACGACGCGAATAAGTGTATGCTTTCAAGGCTGCCATGTTTTTCTGTGCAGGCAAATATTCTGCGACTTCGGCGAGAAATTCCGCGTGCTTGACCCCGACGGAGAGCCACCACGGACGGTTGTGCTCAAGTCAATCAGTCAGGTGTGAGGGAACACGGTTGTCTCGCGCTAAATACTTTTCAAAATAATTTACATAGAACATAAAGTCCCTTATCCCGAGATCCTGAAAACGCGCGTCAGCTACGCAGACCTGTATTCTATCCCGCAAAGCTATTTTTATGGCGTTTATATTACACCTGATTTAAGTTTCTCGGCCACTTTAGTTGGCAGTTTGAAAAGTTTACAGTTATTCCGAGAATTCGAAAATAATGGTAATTTGGGGGGGGGGGGGGGGGAGGGAATTAACCCCCGACGCCGACATCGTTATCAGTGCGCACCATGAAGTGGGAGACTCGGTATTATGTTTTGCCAAAATATATTTCTTTAACGTGCTCCTGAATTCTGCTGCTCGAATCATCAAGCATTTTACTCCCACAATGCGATTTTCTTGGCTCAGCTGCTCAACTCTATAAGCTCGAAGCCACCTCGGACGGTGTGTGAACTCAGTTCTCAAAACGGTCGCTGACTATATGTAGTCGTTGACTACATATATAAGGAAGTTCCGTATACGTGACTTCCTCATAAAGCACTTGCACTGCGTTGCAAGGAATAAATTCAGAAGTACTTGCGATTTACCTTCACCCCTTGGGAAAAAAATATTCCATTACATAAAGCCAACAGAGCGTACAAATCGTACTGTATACATTCAGAGCTAAAGCGGTATAGTGTAGTGTATACGCTATGCTGCGTAAGTTCTGACATCGTGCCTTTGTTAGAGCTTCAGTGCAAGTAATCGTCGTGGGATCTAAACCGAGCGCACCTGCCCCATTTCGACGGGGTCCCAATGCTGGAGGCCCATGTTCTCAGAACCACAGGTGTTCGTATTCCGCAGAACATTGACTGGTGTCATTTTAATAGCGCTACTGAATTCACCAAGCGAAATCGCATATCAGTTTCATTTTTCTGTAATATCTCGCATGCATTCTATAATACCGTCTTATCATGCCACCTGCCTAATACGTACGAGAAGCAAGGAGTGGTCACCACTTCACACAAGGCGCGGCATGGCTTCGAAGACGGCGACTACGTCACCTTCTCCGAAGTCCGAGGCATGACCGAGATCAACGAATGTCCGCCCATGGAGATCAAGGTTTTAGGTTGGTGGAGCTTCTTTTCGCCTATATTGCCTAGATTTCGTCTCGATGTTATGCAGCTCAAGTACAGGTACACCGCACTTTGTGTACTCTAGATTACATTCATTTGTTCGCTTTTGTGGCAAACATGATAATCATGATACGCGTGTCATATAAACCATGACCATATGCTATGCTCATAGGGTGCTCGCGGCTATTTCTGTAGCTTCATATATACCAAATCTAGAATTACGTGACGTGAATTGACGACGAACACAAATGCAAGGCACAAACGTGATAATCATGATATGGAAGTCATGTACAGCATAATTTACACGCCTCTAACTTCTGGGTCTGGTATTGCAAACGTCATTAGTGTCGTCTTTACGCGACTATAAACAACATACTTCCATCTTATTGAGATACCCGAGTGGGCATAACATTTCTAGTTGTATTTATTGTCTATTACATCCACGTGCCTCGTAACTTTGTGCTGATTTTAAAGTGGCATGTCAACCGTCCTCATTTGTGCTTCGCAGATCATCGATTCCCTCTGTGCGTGAGACCTGCAATTTTTTCCTTCTTTTAGAAGGCGTCTATTTGAGGAGCCATAAAAAGCAGTGAAAAAAAGAAACGAAACATAATAGTAATCTCACTTTTAATGCCACGCCAAGATCGCCTCAAATGCTACATGCATACAATCGTAGGCTCGTACGCCTAACCGTCGTTTCCGCCAGCAATAATTCTGCCGAATACCACAACGCACTGATTCAATTGGCAGTGATGTAGTTATTTCAAGACGTGCTCAAATATTACACCCTGTGGTATCGGTGTCCCACTCTTCAGACAACTCAAGCCACAAATATATAATGGGTAATTCAGAAGCGTTGGAGGGCCCATTTAGGTGACGCAAGCGAGTCTTTTGCAGTTAAGCCGTTTATCTCTGCCTCAGTTTACCTTTACTTTTTTGTTTACGCAGCACCACACCGATTCTCCGTCATGGCACCGTACAACGGTATTACAGGCACAGGCGGCTTTGCTACCGAGCTCAAGATGCCGAAGGATGTCAAGTTTGTAAGCGGCTATCTTTATTCGTATCTCATATCTGTCAGACACCAAGTCGACGTGAACCAGCGTATATGATTGTTTCACGTACCTAGAAGCAAATCTATAAAATTTAATGGATAAGTATTACACAAATAAAGCAACACAAATTTTGTATTAGGGCTTCGCCTTTAAGAGTTGAACGTGATAGCGATATTCTGTCCCTTGTGCGTCTTGAACCACTTGGTGCGTACTTTGTTATTGTATGGTGTCACTCGAGAAGTTTAAATTGTGCATTACTACAATGTAATTGACGAAGTTGACGTATAGTTTATGTCAGTAATGCTTTCGCGTGTGGTTGAATTCTGTCTATAGGATGGCATGCTTTAAACAACGAGCAATTATGCGCGTGGAATGTTTTCGAACTTGCTACGCATCACCTACGTGGCCTTAAGAGAATATGCACCGTAATTTGCGTGCCTTTTGTAACCACTGACCGGCACTGAATCACGAAGTTATGACAATCACATCTTCTGACGCCAAATGTGAATGAATGCTTGTACCACGCAATATCACGGTGGTATTACATGTGTCATTGTGAAGCCTGTATAGAGGACGCATGGCTATCTGGTAGCAGACCTACTTGCCACGCCTACTACCTGGGTTCGTTCCTCACTCGCACCCAGAAATTTATTATTTATTTCATTTTAATCTTTATCAATTTTCTGGTCATGGACAAGATCTTTCGTTCACAAGCATTGATTCCTAAGCTAACGTCGACAGCGATGCCTGGATTTCTGTGAAACGAGCAGCTTAACACTATCGCGTTAATATCGTTGTCTCTGCTGACATAATATGCCGAAATAACGCGTTATTGCACATCTAGAAGTAGAGCATCGTAATAGATCAAAGAGAGTTGATGTCATCTAGCGACAATTATAAACACACACACACATTGTTTGTACACAAAGTGGTTCCCCAGAATGTAATATGATGCGCACTTTTGTGACGAACACTTAGCTATGCTTAGTAACGAAGTGTTTTGAGCATGATGGTACGTCAAACTGTAGTTTTCTGGCGCATAAAAAAAACATACGGACAGAGAGACACAAACAGTAGTTTTCTAGTGCCTGCGCCATCTTTATCTCCCTGTGTCTTTTTTTTTTTGTTCGCTAGAAAACTACACCGTAACTAAGGTTCCCTACCGCTGGGAGAGATTTCACACGTTATTTGTCTTTTTTTCATGTTTATTTATCTTCGCCGCCACCAATCCTGCTCCTACTACTGCTGCTAATACTGCTACCCCAACGTATACTTTAACAACTGCTACTGCCACTTCTACCAATGCTATTAGTATACTGTTATTGCAGCTGCTACACTGCTATAATCTGATCTAGTACTATACTACTACTACAGCAAGTACTTTTAAACTCTTTCTAGGGCTGTTATTACTTCTACTACTACATATACCATTACTATTTCTACTAGTACGACTACAACTGCTACTGCTGCTATATTTGTATTCGTGTGGAGTTGCTTATATTGTGACTAGCTAGATTAATGGTTACGCTTGAGAGCTACAGCTTAGTTCGGTACTGCCACGTTCCATTATATAGTTCACCTGATTGTGTCAAGCTGGAATACCTTTTAAGGCGTTAGTTTTATTCGACATTTTTGTTAGCTTTCCGCGATACACTTTGCCTATCGCAAAAACGAGTGCCGTTCCAATGGCTCCAACGCGATACCACTATTTCTTTCTCTTTTTTTCTCGTTTTTTAGAAACCTTTGAAGGAATCTCTGCAGAACCCGGAGTTCGTCCCATGTGATACGGCGAATGCCGATCGTGCCGCGCAGCTGCACCTGGGATTCCAGGCACTGCACGCCTTCCAGGAGGCGCACCGGCGACTGCCGCGTGCTTGGGACATGGTAAGAAGTTGCACTGAACACCGCTAATTTATTTGAAACAACCGTAAGTTTGCGTGGAAACACAGTCGCTTGATAATGCAAAAGATGGCAAATAAAAGAAGCACTGATTGAGTCCCCGTGAAGTAAACTTAGTGTACAAATGTTTCCACCCTGTCCAGTACACGATGCACAGAAACTAATAATACCACAGTACTTACTCTTGATGTGGCGTCCAGCCGGAGTCTCTTCATGCATTCGAGCGCCAGCGTCCAACTAAAAGGCACCATTCCTCAAGGCACCCTAACCCTAACCTAATTATATGCAATGGCATATAGTCATGCAATGGCATATATGCCATGCATGATTATATGCATTGCCATGCATTACCATATATATTGCCATGCATTGCCATATATATTGCCATGCATTGCCAGTATATGCAATGGCATATAGTCTTTTGTCATGGCGTCGTGAGTAGGAAGATGGCAAGTTGGGCTGGTGGGTTTAGTTGAAGCGCACAGGAAAACATGGACAAGAAGAATCAGCCAGGACAGCGCTTAAACTCACAATTGAAGCTTTAATAGTCCAGAAGAGTATACAAAGCAGATAAGAGACATGATTCTTCGCGCATGCGGGACAGAGAAGGGCACAACAAAAAAGGCACTCGTATCGGCATTACCACAAGAATTTTTGTTTGCGTTAGATGTCGTTTATTAGATATTATAAGCACCACGTGCCTAGTGCAGCACAATTGTGGCTTATACACGCTTTATAGTGCAGCACAATTGTGACTTGACTAGCACAGATAACAGAAGATAGTAGAATCACACGAATCGAGCCAAAATTGGCGTACACGATAAAGAGTAACGTGTATCTGGACGCGTAGTGTTTCTAATATCTAATAAATGGCATGAAATTCTTGCTGTAATCCTGATAAGAGTGTCTTATTGTTGCGCCCCGCTCTGTTACGCATTCGCAAGGAATCGTGTACCGGCTTTATAAACTCTCTTCTGATTTACTGACCAAACTTCGTCTGTGTGTGTAAGCGCTGTCCTTCCTGCTTTTCTTGCCCCTGTTTTTCGGCACGTTTCAACCGAGTTTTCAAACATGAGAGAAGGAACCTACCAGGGATCACTGGGTTTTACCCTGACACGATGGCGTCCATCAGGGCCCAGGAATAAGAGCCAACCTCCTTAAATTTTAAGTGCGGAGCACTTATAGGGAGCGCGCTGTCGTATGCTGTCGTAGCTTGGCGTAAGGAAAGCAATACCAGGTCCAGCATACCCATTTCAGCACACGCTCACGCAAAAAAAAGTCTTTTTTTCTCTTGTTTTCGAGTACCTTGATTATCTAAGAAACATAAATACAAAAACACAGGGAAATGAAAACGGAAAAGAAAGAGGAAGCATGCTTCATTCAGTTTTGCACCACTATAGGGCAAAGCTGCCTTTTTGTTTCCTCGTAGAGAATAGTGATACATACAAAACTAATTATAGGTGGTAGTCGCTTCGAAGGTTAGAGAATTGAGTTGTTGAATTTTCATCTTCAGTTCACTGTCCTTCAACGCGGTCTTTTCAGGCATTTAAAACTGGTAATGACCACTATAGATTATGAAGGATTCGAGTTTAACGATGACCACTGATTGTGCGAACGCAGTACGAGGCAGCGGAGGTTGTTCAGCTTGCCAAGGAGAAGAACGCCCTGCAGGCCAACCCACTGAAGGAAATTGACGACAGGATCCTTACCCTGCTGTCTTGCACCTCATCTGGCTCCCTGTGTCCCATGCAGTCTGTCATTGGCAGCATCGCGGCGCAGGAAGTTATCAAGGTGTGTCGGCGACGTCGTTACTGTACAAGTTGCAGCCGTACTGGCTTCTCACTATTAGACCACTCCTATACATGATTGTTTTAAATGAGAGCGCACTACTTGCAGAGAGACAAGCGCTTGTCCCTGTCTTTCTGTCCGTGTCTAAGTAGTGCACTCTCATTTCAAAACAATCATGTATCACCAACTCGCCCTATCAACCATATAGACTCCTATACACTTTTTTAACTAGGGCTCTTTGGGCCCCGCCATATCCCCCCCCCCTCCCACTGGGCTGTCGTGAAAAAAAAAATCGACAGATCCAACGTACCTTCGGAATCGATGTTACGCGAAGCATGCGGATGAAAGGTGGTAGTGTTTTATTTTTTATTGAGTTAGACTTCATTATGTGGTGCTAAATGTATGTACAAAGCCTCACACATTCATACGTTAAAGCGCTGCATTTGTTTTATATTAGCAGTTGCTTACAGTTGCGTAACATTGTCAACTGCAACATGGATATTAGCAACACCAGAAGCGGCAGGATATGAAGAGCTGGTGCTCGCGAAGATGGTAGCCCTGGACACTCCTGCATAAATCAACTTCAGTGGATGGCACCTAACTACAATTGACGTTAATCCGACATGACGGCTGCATAGATAGATAGATAGATAGATAGATAGATAGATAGATAGATAGATAGATAGATAGGATAGATAGATAGATAGATAGATAGATAGATAGATAGATAGATAGATAGATAGATAGATAGATAGATAGATAGATAGATAGATAGATAGATAGATAGATAGATAGATAGATAGATAGATAGATAGATAGATAGATAGATAGATAGATAGATAGATAGATAGATAGATAGATAGATAGATAGATAGATAGATAGATAGATAGATAGATAGATAGATAGATAGATAGATAGATAGATAGATAGATAGATAGATAGATAGATAGATAGATAGATAGATAGATAGATAGATAGATAGATAGATAGATAGATAGATAGATAGATAGATAGATAGATAGATAGATAGATAGATAGATAGATAGATAGATAGATAGATAGATAGATAGATAGATAGATAGATAGATAGATAGATATAGATAGTGTGTAACGTTATTGAACATCGGCCAACGTTTAACGCTACTAGGGCCGAGGTCTCCCACAGAGGAACGTCGAGGCCTTGCCTCAACGCCGCCTTGCGAGATTGCTGGACTGGTCACGTTTGTATTCCGAAATCTGAGCTACGGTAGCACCTCAATGACAGGGTCTGTGGAGTAACTGCAGTCATTTTGTACCCTGTACTAAAACCCCACAACATGTGTTTTACTGTCCTTCCTGGCACAGTTTGTACGTGCCTCTTTGATGTTTGTCCGGATTTGTCCGTTTTCGGTAGCCAGGGTTAGGGAAGGTTCTCGTCTAAAGATGTCTCCAGGTGATGGTCTTCCTTCTGTTTAGCTTTGGAATTTGCAATAGGAATTTACTTCTGGCATTAAGATATGCTTTTGTTATTTCATCATATCTAGTGACCTTATCCCGTTATTCGCAAGGTGCGTTCCCTATACATTGTACGAAAGGCATGTCCCGGTTCGGTGCAACTGGTCATGTTTCGCGCCGTCAGGTGTGCCGTCTCGTTTTGATTCGGGAGCGTGTCACGTTCCCTGGTGACGTGGGCGGGATACCACACGAGAGTCAGAATTTTTGTTTTGGGTCTTGCCCGCTTTCGCCAGAATGGCCGGGGCTTCCTTGGGAATTCTGCCTATAACGTAAATTTTTACAGCTGTTAGGGAGTCACAGAGGACGACTTGGCATTCCTGATCGGTGAGGGCCAGCGCGATGGTCACTTCTCCCACTCTTCCGTTCCGTGCGTACACTGCATGCGATTCTGGTTGAATAGTCTCAGTATTTATGTCCATCGCAATACTCGGTTGCGTCGAGAAAGTGCGTCAGAAAAAAACAAAGCAATGCCTCGGCGCTTGCCGTTATTCTGCCTCGGTTGTAGTCGTGGTGCACGTTCCCGACATCTGCCACCGTAATGGTGTCCCTTATTCTGTTGGGGATTTGAATGTTCTGGCCGTGCTGGTGATGGCAAGGTATGCCTAGTTTTTTCACAATTCAGTCTTCCCGTCGTGGTTGTCAACAAACGTTCAAGCTGCGAAATACGTTGTACTTCGGCTATTTCTTTCCAACGCGTCATGTATACCCAGCTGGGTCTAAACCTCGCAGCTCGCCTATTCCCGGAGCCCCAGGTTGATCTTGTCCGTTTTCCTTTTTATTTTCACTTAGCAGGTAATATAATCAGCACGTAGTTTAATTCCTATAAACATGATTACATAAAATTCCTCCCCACCCAGCGTTCTCAGCGTGTAGTGTTCTCATAGTGCCCTGCCTCTTTCTGACCAACAAAACTCTGTTCTTTATTTCATGCAGGCGTGCACAGGCAAGTTCACTCCTATCCACCAGTGGTTCTACTTCGATGCCTTCGAATGCCTCCCACAGAAGGCCAGTGTCCCTGAGTTCTGCGTCAAAGAGATGGTGAGTTGTATTGGGGGTCACGTAAGCTGTGTATTTACAAATTGACTAACAGTGCACATTCAGTGAGGCAATTTCGCTACACTCAAACCTCAGTAAACGAACACGAATATGACGAAATATTACTAATAAGGAAGTAAATGAAAAATAGTCTTGCAATAGATTCAGTGTTAGGAATTACATATAACGAGTTTATTTTTGTAAGATGTGACTTTGTTTTAATGATGTTTTAGTGTATTTCCATTCTCTTATTCAGCAAAGTTGTTCATCATTAATAGCCACTCAGAGACTTCATTGACATGTTTCAGTAATTCAATGGAGTATAAACAAGCTACTGTTATGGTGCGATCCTGAATAAATGATAAACGGAAGAAAAGTTATACAAACAGAAATAATTGAGAGCCCGGCTCAGTTTTCATATTCTTGTTTCAGAACATAAATCTCCCCACCACAGTGCTGTAGTTTTGCACAAAACGACAACATGAACTTTATTTGCGTTTTCCTTTATTTAAAGCAGCCGTCAAGCAGCAGTCACTTATAAGGAAACCACGTGACGTCAGCCGCTCGCATATTGGAGACTAACCCGCAAAGGATGACAAGGCACATTTTTACAAATACAGGCTTCTATACGGCAATACAAGCAGTGATTTCATGATCTGCAGCTCCTCGCCCGTGTTTAAAAACGTGTTATTCAACCTAAAAAAAGTATGCTCAACAGGTTGATAAATAAATTAAATGTTGTTACGGCTGGTGAATCTGGCAAATGACGTGCGTGCGTTTATTACTAGCCCAGCTACCGAACACTCGGTTTTGTAAACTGTGTACAGATGCTATATGGAATGCCTCCTACTATTTTCTAGAGCTCGTGAAGGTCGTCCTGAGGTAACAATTCTTTATTTGAAGAAAATGAAGCCACAAAATGCTGAACGGCAATGCTTCCTGCAATAAACTTCGATTTAATTTGGGTTATAGGGTTCCTCTGTTGATACGTGTAACGTAACAAGGATCGCGTAGAATGTTTTCCTTTCTTTTTCTTTTATTTTGCAGGAACTTGCGCGGTACGGTGCGCAGGCCTGTGTGTTTGGTTCGGATGTGCAACGCACGCTGTTGTCACTGAACTACCTTGTGGTGAGAAGCGAATATCTGAGATTCGTTCGTTCATGCACAGCGAAATTTGTGAGGCGACAGTCGCAGATGAAGCGTAGGCGTCACATTGTTGCCGATAGTGACCATTGTGAAAACGAGAGGAGAAGAGCTGTAGATTCCTACCGATTCGCTTAAGGGGGATGCGCGAGCATCCACTTGTGCCCCTCCACCGCCCCTACGCATTCGTCGTCGTGGAAGGATACCAGCCCTGTTCTCACGGTATAGTCCGTTACCGCCGTACCGGGCATGCGTATGTGCTTACCTCAGGGGCTCGAATTTTGCGAAACTTTAAAAGAAATAGTTTATCTTCCATAAGCCCTATCGAGATGACAGAATGCCCCGAGTTTTAACTAAGTCAAACGCGTTCGCCTGTTCATTCCGTTTTCTTTATAAATATTCAAAGTGTAACATCTTATGTGTGTAATTAATAAGTTTATCCAGTGTGACTATACGTATAGGCAGTCACTGGGACCGAAGTACGGGCACAGCGGAGAAACGGCAGTGTGAGCGCGGAACATTCAAGCCAGGAAACCGTCCAATAAGGGCCAAATGTTAGCGGTGCTTTGTCGCAATACAACCTTTTCATAAGTATCAACCTAGCTTTTCTGTGGTGCAGTCATAAGAGCTTATTTATTCGTGGTCGCTTAGATAAAAAGTGGGCAATGCAAACTCTGGATTGTATATAAGAGCGATGATCTGAAAAATGCAGCATAGGATCTCGTGATTTACGTATACATAATAGAGAAGGGGGTGCGGCGATAGCGTAGTGGTTAGAGCATCCGCCTCGCATGCAAGAGGTTCGTGGTTCGAATCCCGGTGCCGCGCAGTTCCCAACCGGATTTTAAAAAAAAATCCGCGTGTTGATGGAACTGCATTAAGAGGCCTGGAGTGCGGCATCACCGGTAACCACCGCCGGGAACGCACTCCCTCACCAGAAAAGGATTGCCCACCCTGGTGCAGTATCTGGCCACTACCTCCCACATGCATACGTCAAATAACTCACGGCCCTCAGTCCCCAGCAGCTGCGAAGAAACTGACCACGGCGGCGGTCAGATCTGCAACGCAGCAGAGGGTGCTAAGAATCTCTGGATCCGGACAGGCCACCATTGGAACCTGAACTTGGCAACATTTAACGCTAGAACCTTGTCTAGTGAGGGAAGTCTAGCTGTACTATTCGAGGAGCTGGAGGGTGTTAAATGGGATATAATAGGGCTCACTGAGGTTAGGAGGACAGATGAGGCCTATACTGTGCTACAGAATGGGCACGTCCTCTGCTATCGGGGCTTGGCAGACAGAAGAGAACTGGGAGTGGGGTTCCTAATTCACAGAAACATAGCTGGCAATATAGAGGAATACTATAGCATTAATGAAAGGGTGGCAAATATTGTAATTAAACTGCATAAAAGATACAAGATGAAGGTAGTACAGGCTTACGCGCCTACATCCAGCCATGATGACGCTTCAGTTGAAAGCTTCTATGAAGACGTGGAATCGGCAATGAGTAAGGTAAACACACAGTATACTATAGTGATGGGCGACTTTAATGCAAAGGTAGGGAAGAAGCAGGCTGGAGACCAGGCTGTAGGAGATTATGGCATCGGCACTAGAAACGCCAGAGGAGAGCTATTTGTAGAATTCGCAGAACGCAATAATTTGCGGATTTTGAATACTTTCTACTGAAAACGAGAAAACCGCAAGTGGACATGGAGGAGCCCTAATGGCGAAAATAAGAACGAAATAGACTTTATAATGACTGCACACCCAGGAATCGTGCAGGATGTGGAAGTGGTTGGCAAGGTACGATGCAGTGACCATAGAATGGTACGGTCTCGAATTCGCCTAGACTTGAAGAAGGAACGACAGAAACTGATACGCAAGAAGCCAATCAATGAGCTAGCACTGAGAGGGAAAGTACAGGAATTCAGAGTGTCGCTGCAGAACAGGTACTCAGCTCTTAGTGAGGAAACCACCTTAGCGTAGATACAATGAATGATAATCTGACGAGTATCATTACGGAGTGTGCCGTGGAAGTTGGAGGCAGGGTAGTTAGACAGGACACTGGCAAGCTTTCTCAGGAAACTAAGAACCTAATTAACAAGCGTCAAATCATGAAAATGTCAAGTACAACAGACAAAATAGAACTGGCAGAGCTTTCGAAGTTGATTAATAGACGTAAAGTATGCGATGTAAGAAGGTATAACATGGAGAGAATTGAACGCGCTCTGAAAAACGGAGGAAGCGTCAAAGCAGTGAAGAGGAAACTTGGGATAGCCAAAAGTCGGATGTATGCACTAAGGGACAAATAAGGCAAAATAACTACCAATATGGATAGGATAGTTAAAATAGCGGAGGAGTTTTACAGAGATCTGTACAGTAGCCGAGACAACCACGACCTTAATACTATAAGAACTAGCAGTAACACAGATGACACCCGACCAGTAATGACAGAAGAAGTCAGAAAAGCTTTGGAGAGCATGCAAAGGGGCAAAGCTGCTGGTGAGGATCAGGTAACATCAGACTTGCTGAAAGATGGAGGACAGATTGTGTTCGAAAAACTAGCCGCCCTGTGTACGAGGTGTCTCCTGATGGGAAGGGTACCACAGTCTTGGAAGAACGCTAACATCATCTTAATACATAAGAAAGGAGATGACAAGGACTTGAAGAATTACAGGCCGATCAGCTTGCTCTCTGTAGTATACAAGCTATTTACAAAGGTAATTGCTAACAGAGTAAAGAAAACATTAGAATTCAATCAACCAAAGGAACAAGCAGGATTTCCAACAGGCTACTCAACAATTGACCACATTCATACTATCAATCAGGTAATAGAGAAATGCTCAGAGTATAACCAACCACTATACATAGCCTTCATAGATTACATAGCCTTCATAGATTCATAGAAGTTTGATTCAGAAGAAATATCAGCCGTCATGCAGACACTGCGGAATCAGGGCGTAGATGAAGTATATATAAACATTCTGGAAGAAATCTACAGGGGTTCAACTGCTACCATAGTGCTTCATAAAGAAAGCAACAGAATACCAATCAAGAAGGGTGTAAGTCAGGGGGACACAATCTCCCCAATGCTATTTACCGCGTGCTTACAGGAGGTTTTCAGAAGCCTAGAATGGGAACAGTTAGGGATAAGAGTTAATGGAGAATACCTTAGTAACTTGCGCTTCGCCGATGACATTGCATTGCTGAGTAACTCAGGGGACGAATTGCAACTCATCATTACGGAGTTAGACAAGGAGAGCAGAAAGGTGGGTCTTAAAATTAATCTGCAGAAAACGAAAGTAATGTACAACAACCTCGGAAAGGAGCAGCGCTTCGAGATAGGTAATAGTGCACTTGAAGTTGTAAAAGACTATGTCTACTTAGGGCAGGTAATAACCGCAGAGCCTAACCACGAGATTGAAGTAACAAGAAGAATAAGACTAGGGTAGAGCACATTCGGCAAGCACTCTCAAACTATGACAGGTGGATTGCCACTATCCCTCAAGAGGAAGGTATATAACAGCTTTATCTTGCCGGTACTTAGCTACGGAGCAGAAACCTGGAGACTTACAAAGAGGGTTCAGCTTAAATTGAGGACGACGCAGCGACCAATGGAAAGAAAAATGGTAGGTGTAACCTTAAGAGACAAGAAGAGAGCAGAGTGGATTAGGGGACAAACGGGGGTTAAGGATATCATAGTTGAAATAAAGTAGAGGAAATGGACATGGGCCGGGCATGTAGCGCGTAGACAGGATAACCGCTGGTCATTAAGGGTAACTAACTGGATTCCCAGAGAAGGGAAGCGGGTTAGGGGGAGACAGAAGGTTAGGTGGGCAGATGAGATTAAGAAGTTTGCGGGTATAAATTGGCAGCAGCAAGCACAGAACCGGGTTAACTGGCGGAACATGGGAGAGGCCTTTGTCCTGCAGTGGACGTAGTCAGGCTGATGATGATGATGATGAATAGAGAAGGCCTATTGCAGCTAAAAGGTTTGCCATCACTTCTATCATATGATGTTGCCATCAGATAAGTGATTGTGCAGATCTAACAAGTGTCCTTGAGAACTATCTGAAAAGTAAATTTGATTTGGATCGCGGCCTGCGTTCAGATTTATTACGCTGCAAATGTTCGTGAGTGTAATGTCCAACCTAATCGAAGGTATAAATATCAACCTTGTGAAGGGCCAGCCAATACTTAACACCATCATGATTTTGTGAAAGAACGGCTTTGGAACATCGACTGTGTGATTTTGGCAGCAACAAAGCAGTGTGTTTTGTAGCTGTCATACACCCGTGGAGACTGAAACTTAACAGGAAGCCATTTTAATTTTCATAGTTTTAAAAGAGTGAGACAGACAAAGCGGTTTGGTTGTCACATAAAAACACAGCTCGTTGCTTACAATACAGGAAACTTCTCGCTCTAAATTACAAACCTTGACAGGGCTTTCCATGAGCAAATCAGCGTCATATTCTACTTCACATGCCACAGGTCGGTGCCGGGGCCATTGGCTGCGAGCTACTCAAGAACTTGGCCATGATGGGTGTCGGGGCAGGGTGCGGTTGTATCTACCTCACGGACGCGGACAAGGTTGAGATGTCCAACCTGAACAGGATGTTCTTCTTTCGGACCGAGGACGTCGGAGTGAGTTGCCGTCTGTCGCCATTGAATTTCGAGTGTATGTCGATCGCACGCTGTGGGACATTGTAAAAGTCGCAACAGAGGGTAGAAAAAGTAAGGGTACTTAGTTGCTTGAGAGAGTAACCTCTGGGCCAGTGGTAGGCCTTCTGAAAGAGCAAGCAAAACAGCTGACAGGAACGTAGCCAGAAATGTTTCTCGAGAAGCAGGGGGGTCATTACATTTTCAATATGTCCGTGCATGCCCTTGTGTGTGCGTGCGCTTATGTAATCATACCAAATTGACATATCTCGAGGAGTTTCAACCCCCTGACATGCCCTGGCATACGCCAATGCTTGCTGAAGACCCAGGCCCAATTGACAAGCTCTCCTGACCAACGAAAAAGCAAGCGACGAGCAATGATGTGCCCCCCCCCCCCCCCTCTATTTCTTTGCCACTGCAGGCTTGGCAGCAGCCAGGACTTCCTACAGGAGCAAGCGAAGTTCATCGCTTACATAATGCAGTCTTTCTATTCTAGGAAGCACTTAATCCCATCCACGCGCTGAGCTTGCGATAAACCAGCTCTAGCTGGTTTTCTCAGGCTTGGGCAATACACTTCGACAGAGGTCCTCAACACATCAGTGATTCTTGCGTGTATTTCACCACCTTCTCACGCCACTTCATATGTTCAAAGTGATTTCGGCTAAATCACATAGTGCAGTGAAGTAGAAAAAAAACTGGTGTTCTACAGGCCGCCCGCCGCCATGGTATGATTACGAAGCAGCGAGGACTCCAGCCTACAGTGTTCACTACCCTTGGAGTTATTTTAACGTTTACCTTTAACGTTCATGGGTGTTCTTACATTACACCCTCAAAAATGCGGCCATTGTGGCTGGGAATCGAATACGCTTCGCCAAGCTTAGCAGCGCAACACCTTGTAGCGGTGTCACACGTGCTCTTTTTATCACGATCATGCCGATTCTGAATCGAATTTCTTTGTCGTGGTTGATTCCTTTCCACAAGGTGCACGAGAATCATAGTTGTGAAATTTAATTTATACTGCATCTAATCGCAGTCAGCAGAGCACTGTGTGAGACAGGTAATGAGATCATAGCGCAACTGGAAAGATATTGGTTGGATGATATGCTGTGTGTATAAAGTTGGAAAATAAAAATGCGTATACTAAATTGGGAAACAGGCAGGTTTTTCAACCAACAAGCTTATTGATCATTAGTTGAAATCCCTATATCCGATCCACTTGCAGTGGATCGGAAAGGTGCATTAAAGCTCAAGTTGATGTATGGTCTTTCTTGTCTTACCAAAAAACAAAAGACCGGGTGAGTACGCGACGCGAAGAATCTCCTTAGAATTAGGCCCTATTTTTCGCGCACCTTCGGTATTTTCATTTATTGTTGTTCGGTATTGTCAAGGGGCAAGGCACTGCACGGGACAACTCCTAAGCTTTGTTCTTGATTTGTGTTTTATTAGCCATACATGCAGTGTGCGTCGATAGAGAACTGTGAATTGCGGGAGCCTGCTTTTATCTACACTAGTAGTCAGCTGGCACCCGTATGGTCTGGTTCAAACTCACATCGGCTAATAATCAGCTGTCTCACCTGTTCTATGAGAAATCCCCATTGCTTTAGTGAAGGACCGCCCAGAGCTATATTTGTCTATTTAAAGGTTCTCTTTCGAAATGGGACCTCGTGGTTTGACTTTGAGAGTAGACTTGTGGCCGTCTCTTCCAAACTGAGAAAACCGGTGGATTCATGGAGGCTGCGGGGCTCGAATCCGGCGCCTCGTGCATTGCAGCCAAACGCTTAGCAATTTTGATGAAGTAGCACTACCTAAAAGCCAGACCCCATGGCGTGAAATGTTTTCACAAAATGAGAGAGGGGAAAGCTATCTTCGTGCGAGTCGATTAACACTTGCAACTTGTGCGAAACAGTTAGAGTTCAATATCGCCCTAATATTCGGGTTCAGTGGTTCCGATTATTGACTTAACTTTTTTTTTTGTCGTCCCCTCTGAGCAGCACTCGAAGGCCGTCGCCGCCGCGAATGCCGCTCTGCGAATGAATCCAGAACTGAATATCACTTCTCATGAGGACAAGGTCGGACCGGAAACGGAGAGCGTCTACAACGACCTGTTCTTCACGCATCTGAACGGAGTGGCCAGCGCGATAGACAATGTCGAAGGACGTTAGTATATATATATATATTGGCTTTATTACTACGTATGGGTAAGCAAAACTGCCATGAAATTATGTTTTTAGCAAAATTTGTTATCTGTCGGTTGTACATGCCCCTGAAGCATTCGGTAACCGATTGTCAAGGGGTAATTTAAGCGCTAACGAACATCAAACTACAAGCACTGAACAAAGGGGAGCAAGAATTATTATACTCCTCTCCCCCTTCCCCAGTGTTAGCGTACTTTAGCAACCTTGATAAGCTGCTGCGTTACGTTAGAGATATCTATAAGGACGCTCGAATGAGCAATGCTCAAATAAACGTTGAAATAAACAATAGTGTGCCTCTCAATCTCCACCGTATGAACATGAAACCTACAAATGTTCTTCAAACAGATTATCAGCAGACACGCACGCCTTGTTTAGATGTCGGTTGACGGGAAACAACTACAAAATTTCACTACAGTTCAGCCAGTTATATATGTTCATCATCAGACAGTTATTAAAATATGGTGCTATAAGTATACTTCTTTTAACAAGCAACCATTTTGTGCAGTGATACACAAAATTAACTCCATAGAACGCATCGAGCCGAATGAAGGGGAATGATAACGACAGTAATAACGCGTCGTGCCTTTCACGTACGACATCACTTACCTGATCTGGTGTTCGCTCGGACCAGATCTAAATATATACATAGCAAGCTTTATAGAAAAGAACATTGGAACATACATAGGTTTTGTACTTCAGGTATGACACAGAGGTTTTGTTAACTAGATACATGAAAAAAAAAACGCCATTACATGACACATAGTGTATGTTCCAACATGAGTTGTCATCGATGACTAACCCTAGTTTTTTTTTTTTTCAAAGCGAAACTATGTGGTGTAAAGCATTTTTCGTCGACTGATTTGCATTACGTCGATTCACACAGCGCGTATCTGCCGGCATTTTTTTTTTTTCAGTGTACAGAGAGGCCTAATGCGAGCTAGCACTCGTTTTCAATGCTTTAAAGCAACACAATATTAGTAACGCTGCCTAAACTAGGCTACTGTCACATCGGGCTCAAGCCAAATATTTTTTCCCCGTCGTAATGAATGGGGGCCTGTGGGACACCCGTGCATTGTGAATGTAAAACATATGTATAAAAAAGGCGTCTTTTTTCAGGCAAATCTAATCAAACGTAAACATTTTCTTTTCATTTTACTAATGCTCTCTAAAGTCACCAGGTCGATAAAGAAAATTATCTTAGCCACAGAGCAAGGAAAGAGAGAATCACCTTCTCAACACCAACTGTTGACTATGCTCTCTGTATGGTTCGATTGTATTGATGTCACAAGACATTACACCTGGGCCAGAGCAGGGAACCGTATCAATCCCTTTACGAGTTCCAGGAGAAATCCAGGAGCTCTTTTCTTGGAGTTCTTTCCTTTGCTGCGTCTGTGGGAACTGCAGCACACTGTGCTTCAGCAAGAAACAAGAAAAGTTCCGAATGTTCAGGCAATCAGCTATGACGCGAAGACGGTTTATGCAGGGAAAATTAAACACGCTACTAAAGTACTTGTTGGCAAACTGAGTATTTGCTGTTTGACACCCCTTTCACAGTTTAACTACCCGACGCGTTGGTTTTGGCACGCAGCCAGTAATAAACGACAGCATGTAAGGCTACAGGCGTATGAAATGCGTCGTGCAGGTCGCTACATAGACCGCCGTTGCGTGCGCTACTGCAAGCCACTGGTAGATTCGGGCACCGAAGGCACCAAGGGCAGCGTCCAGGTGGTCGTCCCATTCGTGACCGAGTCCTACACGTGCTCCCGGGACCCGCCCGAGACGTCGGTGCCCCTCTGCACCATCAAGTACTTTCCCAACAAAGTAGAGCACACTATCGAGGTACTCTCGTTTCGAACTTCAGGGGATATTCTAGGGAAACACTAAGTGGCTCAAGGCAACACCTGGTTGATTATTCTTAAATTTTATTGTTGTTAATTATTGGCAGATGTACCGGTTCAATACGGGGGGACGGAAAGGAGGTTCCAAAGGTGCTCTCACATCCTCCCTTCCCCTGTTCAGGCACCTCTTGTTACCAGCTAATAGCATTCTACACACGTACCGTTTGTCTGGCAATGAATCGTGGGTAAATATGCTTTGATATACATTTGATAACGACAAGTTCAGATTACGTGCCTCGCCCAATTCACAGAGCTGCCTGCAGCACCGCCCCCTCCTCCCTCCGGCCGATGCCGTCAGTGTCGTCTTCATACCGGAATATGGCGAAACCCTCGCCTATTTAGAGCCCTCTTCAGTGTCACATTACGGCAAGAGTGGGGTTCTTTATATATATATATATATTTTCCTGAATGATAATGCATTAATACAGGTTTTTTTTTCATAAATGACACTAATATTTGATTGCTTACGCCACGCACTTAGTTTGGCTGCCGCAGATCTCATTGCATCGCTAAATATTTCTTGATAGAAATAATGTCGCCGTAAGTTTTAGAAGCTTGATACAAAAAATACACACTCAGGTAAAATGATGCTCCACGTGTAAGGCAGCAGTTAAAATGTCCGTCAGCATGTCGCACTCTGCAACACTTGAAGGCAAAGCCTGCTGCGCACCGTCAGCGCTTGGTAAAGAAGTAGGTATAACGTTAGACTCTCGGGGCACAACAAAGCCGCATTACTCGTGACCATTGACGAAGCCATCGAGTATGTCACGTGATTACGCGACGATGTCAAATTTTTGCGCCATGTAACGTCATTGTGACGACACATTACGTCAAAATTTGACGTCAGTCCCAGCTACAGGTCACGTGGTTTGTGTACGAATTGATTTTCCGGTGGTGTTCCAGTCAAGTAACCACTCTGCAAGACATCGAAGGCTTTCTCAATCAATAAAAAAGGCGCAGGCCCTCTTACCTGACCTTCACTCGCACACGCGCACAACGTCCTGCCCATTCAACGGCCATTGTTAACCGTCGTAATTTTTGCCTCAATTTATGCTGACATATTGGGAAAATGTGTTGACAGGTGGCTCACCTCGCGCTGAAAAACATTTAAACCCGCAAAAATCACAGCCTGTGAGTGAAAGCAAATGAAAACAAGGAATAATCAAATATTTATCTTGTTTTTATTTTTCAGTGGGCACGTGATGAGTTCGAAGGCCTCTTCAAGATGAGCGCGGTGAATGCGGTCAAGTATCTGGAGTGAGTAAAGCGCATTCGGGCTTCCGTCGCTATTCTTAGTCATTTACGGTGCATCTTGTGAGAGTGAATCACAGATGGAGCATCTTGCGCAAGCATCTTACGAGAAGGGACCCTGCAGCGCTTTTTCCAAGTAATCGTCAAATGGCTTCAATTAAATAGCTTCTTGTCTCACAAATCGACTGCCACAAAAATGCTTAGAGTGCCTAAAGTACAACTACAGTGATTTGCCGCACGCTTCAAGCGTGCTTTCTCTCCTTTCGCACCAGCGGGCGTGCTCACAGCTACACAGTGATGACAAGGTGCCAAGATGATGCGTCCCTTCACCAGCCCGCCTTTTGACCTAGTGTTCCTTGTTTCTTTTTTTTCTTCTAACGCGTGGCTTACTTTCAGTGCCGTCGTGTGCTTGCGCGCCGGAACGTGATGACACACCATGGCGGGCACAGCAATTATGCAGTCCACGATGCTCAAATAAGTGGAAGGATGTTGGACTTTGAACTGGAGGCGCAGTCATTTGGGCTTATGGCATCATTTTTCGAGAAGAGAGATGTTCTGCTCTCAAACTTTCGAGAATTAATTGTGAATTCCTAAGTCATGGGCTGCGTTATAACTGATTGTCTAGCGTATTCTCGGCAGCCTCGACTACGGATTAATGATGTTGTCTCACCATGAAAACTTTGATTTTCGATATGAAGGTTCAAATTATCACTCCAAATTTCAAAGTTGATTTTTAAGGGATTTAGCTTTTAAACATCCACTGTATTCGCGCATAGTGACCGGCAGGCCTCTGCCAAGTCATATGATTGTCATGTCATAATAACGACGCTTGATTACACGACGAATTTAAAGCAACCAGTGAGCCATACTCCGTATACTGGGACGAATGCATGTGCAAGAAAAAAACACGATACGAAAGTCACACAGTCCCTTCGGCATTCACTTCTTTCTTCTTCTCCTCTTCTTTTTCGTGAATTATAATGATCTTCCTCCCACATCCTTCATGAGTTAATGTGAGCACCAACACATCTTTGATATTCAAACCTAGTTACTACGTGCATCGATCAAAATAAGAACAAGTTAACTTGGCGTGTTATGTACGGCTTGTGAATATGATAGTACTACAGTGACACCCCAGTTGTAAAATTCAGGCCTTCTAATTTAACGCTATTTTCGAACCACTAAGCAGGACCTAGTGATGTCCCAGCCAGGCTCGCTTCGGTTGCTTAGGCAACTATAAAAGGAGTCGCACCAAGTTGCCGGCTTGAAGAAGACAAGTCTGCCTGTCAAAATATCTGATGTTGACACACGTTTCATTAGGCAGCTACAACCTGAGAATAAATGCGAGCTTTCCCCACCTGAACTACGACGCACCTGCCATTTATTTTTATAAGAGGATCGTGCTAGGTGGCTTCGTCTGCTCGATTCTCGACTCCTGATGTAAATACTATGCATACTAAATTTAAGTTTGTCATCCCTAGCTAAAATATGTTATTTGGCTGAGAGGTGTTGGAATCTGCTAACATTTGGCAGGGAGTTCAAGTTTCAAAGTGGGAACCCGCCACACTGATACGTGTGTATAAGAGAACCACGTTCATGAAATACGTGAAAGGTGCTTGACTTTATGAAAAGGAGCGAATGCGACTGGATAGAGCGTCTGTTCAAGTGGAGACTGCGGGTAGGAGAGCGACGAGTGTGCGCGGACCTTATGTAGAGTTCCAATGGTAGATCCAGATAAACTTTTTCTGCTGTGAGCGGAGCAATCATACTCCTATGGCGGATTGGGAGCGTGAATTGTGTATTTCAATGGCAGATTGAGAGCAACTGCAGATCACGGATTGCTCCGTGGAGCAAGAATTTTGGCTCCACGGAGCAATCCGATTTGAACTTCCGGTCAAATCGGCGGATTTGACCGGAAGTTCAAGTGACGTATTCTGTGCGCCCACGTTTCATCCAATCACCGATGGCTGTCCGGAAAACGCTTCGCACTCCTTCGCACCCTCTCCGCCTCCCTCGCTAGATTTCCACCCACAAACAGCTCTCGTCGAGACGCGTGCGTTCCAATCGCGGATTAGGCGAGAATAATCCTGCTAGGATCTGCGTGCTCCATTCGCGATCTGGCCCAGCACTCGCGATCTGCCATTTAAATTCAAGATTAATTTTTTTTTTCGGGCAGTGACCGACAATACGTCTTATTTAATGAACTTCGGTTAAGTACAACAATTAATGCGCATGTTTCCCCTCAGCCTAATTGTCAGTTATTTCATTTAGCTGCGTTTAGAAAGGGACACGAGCCTCAGGAAATCATTTCCGTGCTTTCTGTCATTTGCTTGGGCAAGTAGTACGACACAATTAAAAGTCTTACAGCCCTGCTGAAACATTCCTTTCACCGTTACGATGGTTTCATCGGTTTCCGTGAGATGTTTGCAGAAATAGTATGTTGGATATATGAAAATATATAGACTATGTATGAATTCCATGAAGAAATTGTAAATATTAGAATGGCGTAAGAATGTTTCAGAAAAGATTGCTGTTGTCTGTTTTAGTACTTCATGGCTTGTATGTATCTGAAAGAAACGGGGAGTAAGTACGAGGGAGCGAATGGAAAGTTCTGTCGTGTCATTGTGAAATAGTTTTTTCGTTGATGCCTTTCAGAAATCCCCGCTTTCTCTCCGCCGCTCAAAAGACCCTGCCCCTCATGGAAGAGGTGAGCATTTTCAAAATGCTTTTTAATTGTGATAACAATTAAATAAACAATAGTGGCGCATTTCTGCCGTCGCCGTCATGTTCTGTATAAAGCACGAATCGATGACATCACCCCGTGCATAGAATGTCCTATGTGCAAGTGAAGGCTTGTGAAGGCTGCTGGCAGGGACGAACCACGCCGGCCGGCTGCGTCATATACGAACGAGTATACGAAGGGACGATGGGGGTCGGGCGTGGATGCCTGCGCCGCTAGGTCAGCAACGGCATGCTTTCATCAAAAGGGTCAGTCCGCGAGAACTTTCTCGACTGAGATAAGTAGGTTGCTAAAACTCTTGTACGTGCTGGGCTCTCATGCACAGCTTACTTAGCGTTGAAGTGGCAGCCATCACGAAAACCACTTCGCTTCCTGATGCTGCTGTGTTTCTCTTAGGGATAGAGTTACTGCCAGATCGTATCCTCAGTGAGTTGGCTATACTATCATCACTTCGTATACCATACCCATTTTTTATTATCGTATCCATGGCTTTGCCTGTAGCGAAGAAGCTTTCTTTAAGCGCTTAACCCTTTGAGCTCGGCTTGTCCATCCATCGTCTCGAGTCGCATGGTCAGGCAGTGATCAATACAGGTCCTAAAACAAGGCTGCTTAATCTCAAAACCAATCCGAAGTAATTTTACAATGCAAAGTATTTTAACTACATGAATAACTACGAAATTAGTTAGAATGATTTTCCTAAAACAACGAGAAACACTTTTGCAACATGAGGCTGATGCCGGCGTGGTGCAAGGCAATGTCACCACCTCGAAAGCGCTCAATTTACGAGGCGGAGCCGTCCATCCGTACGTACGTCTGTCCATTAGTCTGTCTGCCTGCGCGGTAAATAACGTCTTGTCTATGTATCACGTTTCGACTAAAGTGGTGCCAGCGTGGTCATTAATTCGCGTTATATTTTGTTGAGCAATAAATAAATTCGAGCTCTGCCGCCGTGCTTTCGTTGCAGGTTGACTTGCTGCAAGAGCTCATGAAGATCCTGGTGGAAGAACGGGCTTGGGTTTTCGACGATTGCGTTGAATTCGCCAGGCTTCGCTTTCAAGAGCAGTATGACACCAGGATCAGACAGATGCTAAGACATTACCCCGAGGAGCAGGTGAGAATTTTGTCACGGAAGGGGGGGGGGGGATGACAGAAAACAGGCGTATTTACAATAGTTGCAGTACACAGTAGTGCGGGCAAAAACAACCAAGATGGCGAGAGCAGACACCACCTAGTCCTTCGTTCCTTCACCCTATAGGTGAGCGACACATAACAGAATTATTATATGTACTAAGTTTATAACTGTAACAGTTACTACTACACTTTACTCAAATACTACAATTGTCAGCCAAGATTTCCATGTCCTGGTCATCTGCTCGTTTCATGTGGTTGCGTTTGACGAAAGCTGGCCCTTCTGGCATGACCCTTCTTGTTCATTTCGTGTATTGAAACATTTTTTGGGCACGATGATTTCATTTGTTACAAATTGTGTTTCGTTTGGATCTATTGTATTGTTATACCCTTGTATCGTGATATCACATTAAATCCTTGTGTACATGTATGCCAACTTAATCATGTATATTAGAGCAAATGTCTTCACTGTAACGTAGTGATGTTAGTCGTGAAATATTGATGTGCCGAAGTGTATGTGCCCTGTTACTGGAATGGTATGAAGCCTTTGTGTTCTGTACATGTTGTAAATAATTTTTTACTAAACACGATGAGTTGCGTTGTTAGCCTCAAACCAGCCTTGTACAGGCTGGTTTGAGGCCTACGGGACGGCTTTATGCTCTCCCATAGTAGAGTACCTCGTACTTTAAATCGTTAACAAATTTTTCTAAACACACAAGTCGTATCATTCAATCCAAATTTGATGTAAGAAAATATTCAGTCTTCCCTGTTAATTCCTTCGCTTTTAATCACTTCTTTGAGACCATTTTGTTTAATAGAGAGATGACTGTGGATTAGTACCGAAGTCTACCTCTGTGACCTCGGGTCGTCTTGCATTAAAAACAATGGACAGAATAACAAGACCGGAGTTTACAATCTTCTCCATCCGCAGCTCACCTCCAAGGGTACGCCATTCTGGTCCGCAGGCAGGCGCTGCCCCCACCCCATCGAGTTCGACCCCAGCAACGTAAGCACCTGCGCTCACAGCATCGGAGCCATTTGTATACCTGGGACGAATTTGGGGCAATCGTTCAGTAATTGCTTGTATTTCAGTGGCTAAATTGCTTTGTGTTTTCACTTATACTGCCAAGGTGAAGCTTAGTGTACCTACTTGCCATTAGTGCTGGCGTAACCTTTTTACTTTCATGCTATCATCACACAGGACCGCATTGCTTAATGAGTGCACAACTTTAGATTGTTTTGCACTGAACCTATTTTTACGGCTGGTATACCGCGTTGGTCATACCTCGCTGCAGACGCTGCACGTGGACTACATCGTTGCTGCGGCGAACCTTCGAGCTGCGATGTTCGGCATTCCGCAGTGCACAGACCGCGAAGTTATTACCCGCATGCTCGAAGATGTAGACGTTCCCGTCTACGACCCGCATAAAAACGATGCCGCTGTCAACGAGGACCACACCGTGCCTCGTGACGGTACGTTGGTAACCATAAAAGATGTTTGAAACTAAACAACGGTTTGAAAGCACGAAAAATAATGCCCGTATAAAAATAAGGCAACACAAGAAAAACAAGAGGACAGAAATGACACCTGGTGCTCATCGTCGCAGAGAAAGCGCATGCTAGAGACCATTCAAAACTGCAGTATTTGGCTAAACGTAGAGTGTAAGGTGGAGGCAGCAATCACAGGACAACGTTGATGGAAGAAACGTGGGAGAGGCCTTTGCCCTGCAGTGGATGTAGCAGGGCTGATGATGATTTTAATGGGGACGATGATGAAACTGAAATTCGAAACTGAATGGTGACTGATGAAACTGGTTAAATAATGTTAAGCTTCGCTTTTAAGAGTTGAACGCGATAGCAATATTCTATTACTAGTGCGTATGCTTCAACCACTCAGTGCATACTTTTAAATGCGAAGCATTTCTTAGCAAACTTCGGCGACTTTGAGCGTATTTATCTATCAATCTATCTATCTGTCTAGCCGCTTACGTTTGGGTGCTCTCGTGGTGACCCCATTTACTTGGCGAAAACCAAAATAAGCATGGGAGGGTGAGATGGTTTCACGCATGCGACGCCTTTGTCAAGACATGAATGACGTAACAATCCTGACGCGTACGTCGTACAACACATCCCGCCAGACAGTGGCACATACCCTCGGGCGGGTATGTGCCGCTGGTATGCGGGTATGTGCCACAGGTGATTCACACTTGGTATCTGCTCAGAATGACAAAGACACGCATGGGCAATTTTAACGCTCGCGTGTTGAGAAATACCCGACGTCGGTAGGGTCAACCCGACGAGTCCCAGCTGGAACCGAACCCAAGCATTCTGGGTGCCAATGAGGCATTTTACCACAGAGCTACGCCCGGTCTCGGAACTACTTTTCAAATAGACGCTAATCTTCGTGAAACGTTAAATAGTGGTTTCAGTGCTGCCTACCCAATTTTAAAAACATTACATATGTACTATTTTGATACAGCCATCACGCCGGGTTAACGTCAGATGTGGTTAGTTTCCATGCGCTGAAGTTGATTTATGTAGCAGTGTCCAGGGCAAGCACCTTCGCGAGCATCAGCACTTCATATCAGCTTCTGGTGTTGCTAATACGTATGTTCCAGTTGGCATCATTGCGCAAGTACATACAACTTGTTAAATAAACATCTGTCAATCTTCAACATATGTCTGTGTCTGCGACATTGGAACATCAATTTAGCGTCATTTCATGACGTGCCGTTTAATTTTAAAAAATGGCAGCATATCCACGGAGTGAATGATGGAGAGTGGGGCGAAGAATTCGTCCGTCCATTCGTTTTCCCTTCTGTCTGTCCATGCGTCCGTCAGTGTGACCGTCCATGCGTCCATCAGCCCGTCCGTGCGTGCGTCTGTTTGTGCGTCCGTCCCTGCGTCCGTTCATGCGTCCATCCATGCATCTGTCTATGTGTCCGTTCGTCCATCTCTTCAACACTCCAAGTACCCCCATCTCGCATCTTTTCATCATATATTCCCCATATAGACGCACCGCCATCCAGCGGACATTCCAAGGACTAAACGAGAGGTGGCACACGCACACTTTCTTACGGCTTGCGCTTCAGGTCCACTTCCCACCTTTAACCACCTCGAGTTCGTGGTATATACTAGTTCACTGCATTCATGGCACTGCGGCCGAACGCTCGCTAAACCTTTCGAAAACCAAGGAGGTTACGCCTAGCGAGTATGACGTAGCAAACTTTTTCAGTCAGATAGTGCTCAATGTACATGCCAATGACTGCTAATGGGAAATGAGAGGCGGAGAATTCGGCTTTTACTTTCTTACGGCTTGCGCTTCCTATCTACTTCCCATTTTTAACCACCTCGAGTTCATTCATGGTATATTCAAGTTCATTGTATTCATGGCACTGCGGCTCAACGCTCGCTAAACCTTTCTAAAGCTAAGCAGGTTACACCCAGCGAGTATAACGTAGCAATCCTTTTTTGTCAGATAGTGCTCAATGTACATGCCAATGGCTGCTAATGGTGATCGCAGCCTGCGCGTTAACGAAAAGACGAATGCTCCTGTCTCTCATTCCTCATTAGCAGCCAGTGACATGTACATTGAGCCCTATTTTTTATTGTTCAACAACGCACAGAAAAAGTCTCTCACCGGCACTACCTTGGAGGTCAAAATGTTATACTTGTTACTTACTATGGAGGACGAACGGGTGCCGCTATAAGGAGCTTCGCCCCTAAAATTGCAACACGGTCCCCTTTCTTCCGTATGCTTCGCATAACGTAGATTCCAAGGTACGTGGGATCTGTTGAACTTTTTATTGTATTATGTTCCTCGAAAACTTTAAATTGTGCATTACTGCAATGTAATCTCTAAAGTTGAAAGTGGCTTGTGTCAGTAAAGCTTTGGCAAATGTCTGCATTTTGTGAACCACGAGTAATATGCGCGTAAAATCTTTTTGAACTTTCTACGCACCCACTACGTGGTCTTGAATGAAAGCGCGCAGTCACGTGCGTGCCTTTTCAAATGGGGGGCTGGTTATAAACCACGAAGTCGTTATGATAATCACATGTTAGCTACAGCCGCTTTCCTGACTTCTCCGTTTCTTGTGTTCATTTATTTTTGCTTGGATATATTTTAGGGCAAAGCTCTATATAACGGCACCCGTTCGTCCCTCGTAGACATTGTAGTGTGTAACACGTATGACATTTTGACCTCCAAGGTGGTGCCGGTGAGAAGTTTCATATGTGCGTTGTTGAACAATAAAAAATAATGCTCAATGTAAGTGCTAATGGCTGCTAATGGGGAATGACAGACAGGAGCATTTGGCTTTTAGTTAACGCGCACGCTGTGATCCCCATTAGCAGCCATTGACATGTACATTGAGCACTATCTGACAAGAAATGGTTGCTACATTATACTCGCTGGGAATAACCTCCTTAGTTTTAGGAAGGTTTAGCGAGCGTTGAGCCGCAGTGCCATGAATACAATGAACTAGTATATACCATGAACTCGAGGTGGTTAAAGGTGGGAAGTAGATACGAAGCGCAAGCCGTAAGAAAGTGTGCGTGTGCCACCTCTCGTTTAGTCCTTGGAATGTCCGCTGGGTGGCGGTGCTTCTATATGTGGAATATATGATGAAAAGATGCGAGATGGTGGTACTTGGAGTGTTGAATGGATGGAAGAACGGACACACAGACAGATGCATGGATGGACGCATGATTGTACGCAGGGGCGGATGCATGGACGAACGCAGAGACGGGAGCACGAACAGACGCACGCACGAACGGGCGGAGGGACGCATGGACGGACGGAAGCAAGAACGAATGGGCGGACGAATGCTTCGCCCCACTCTCCATCAATCACTCGGTGGATATGCTGCCATTTTTGATGCAGTGCACCAACTAGCTTCACAACGAGTGTTAATATATGTTCTGACGTCTGATGGCAATGTTCACTCGTATCACTCAATATTACTGCGGTATGTTGTGTTGAGAAGCCTGTATACAGGACGTGTCCATTTGCAAATCATGAATTTTTTTTACTGCATTTCCAAGCAGGGGAAGTTATTTTAGCTGTATTTGTAAACCGAAGCGTGGAAATGTGGTAAAGCCCCTGCTTGCCACGCAAACAGCCCGTGTCCGATCCTCACTCGGACCTGAACATATATGTTAGATGCGAAGCAGCTTTTTGACTAGCCTGTGTAACACCGTCCCTCCGTTCGCATCGCTCCCCTCGCCGCAGGTGTAGCGGTGCCAAGTAGCTCACACCCTCCTAGCAGTGCGCGGTGACGTCTCTCTCCCTCGCCTGCCACGCGCTCACCGCGTGTAAGCTCTCTCTTTCTTCCCCCTCTCCACCGCTCTCGACGCTCGAGCCCTCTCCTCACGTGGGCATCATCTCACCAACGCCACATCTCTCCATCTGTCAGCGAGAAAAAGCCGCGAGTCGGAGGTTTCGCGCGCTGCACGCCTCTAGAATCTCGCAGCGCCGAACTTAGGGAGGTTTAGAATAACGTTCGCAGGCATTCAGGGCGTTGCTTTAGTTGCGGGCACCATATGAGTTTTAGAATAGGTTTTGCTCCCTCAAGAGAAACCCGAATGCATGGAAGCTACACACAGCTATTTGCGGGTCCCACGGGCCGTGATTGTCGAAAGGTATTTCGGAATTTCTGCGGGCGGGCCGCAAGCGTGAACGGTGGCTCACGTTACGAGGCATGCACAGTGGCAGCGACTGCACCGCAAGGGCTTGCTGTGCGCTATTCTAAACCTCCGTGGACAGCGCGCCGCTGCTTGCCGCGCGATCGACATGCTTCCCGCTAGTGTTGCGCGTACCTGTCCGGGCTGTCGCCGGCGTTGCGAGAGCAAGCGAAACCGATCGCGTGCGTGAATGGCGACGTCAACAACGACGAGGTGCGAGCCAAGAAAGCCGGACGCAAGCATCTGCAGGGGAAGACCAGCGACACAGGCTAGGTGCGAGTCAAGAACACCGATCGCGTTCGAGAATACAGACGGCGCGTGGGTAACACCGACGAAACGCGAGCCAAGGAAGCCGAGCACAACCGTCTTCAACGCTACCCGGCCCCCGTGTCTTTGCGTTTCAAACAAACGTTTACTGGACTAAATGCTACACCGATTTTCGCTGCAAAGCGTTCTTCCAGCACTCGCGTCGACGCCGTGCGCACCGCTGCTGCTTCGGATCCCGTCATGGTTCCCTTCGGGGAGATGGTCCCTAGATTCTTGTTTATTTTTATTTGCATACCTCTCAATTTTTAGGTGACAGACATGATTATAATTTTTCGCTCACAACCAACGAGTCTCACTGCCAACGCCGACGCCGGAATCCTGCAAAACGAGCTCTTTAACCCTATCTCGTTAAAATATATACGGGTACCTATTATGGTGGAATGGCAGCATTCAGAATAATGTACATAACCTGCGAACATGTCTTCAGTACCGGGTGGTTGTTGTTAGGCAACCTTGATTGACAAGATATATCGACTGAGGTTGTTCCAATTGACTGCCTGAGCGAGAAACGCATCCAAGTTGATGTAGTTGGTCTGTTCGAAAACTAATTCCTGACAGCGTGTGTGTGTTCGGGGGAGAGGGGGACTGGCACCTGTAACATGTTATGTATAACTGTGCATCTGCCCACTGCCTTACTTTTTTCCAACTTGGATCCAAGAAGTCATTATATGATGGCGAAGCCGGTAGGGCACTGCAAAGAACACGGATGAAGAAATTGAAGACCGATCCCTTCACTAAGTTCTTTTCCGTATTTTTCGCAGTGTGTACCAAGTTTAGCCATCAATCACTACCAACAAGCCCTCTCCTCAATCATTCAAGTTATGGTAGTTCAGGGCTGTAGGCCCTATGGCGACGATTTTGTGGCGCCACCGAGTACATGGAACTTGGCGGTTTGATGTATCGGCTGCCATGCGGCGCGTACCATCCCGCCATCCACGGCAAGTTCCACCGCGCTCTTTGAGAGAGCCTATAGTCTTTTCTTTGTCATAAAGCTGCCCGTTCAAAACCTGTGTCTGTGGCCTTGTTCGCATATGCAGCTAAGGAGCTTGTGTGTGATCTGCTGGAAGAGCTCCCAGCTCCAAGGGACCTTGAGGATCTGACCTTAACGGCGCTCGAGTTCGACGTGGACGATGATTCCAATTTCCACCTGGACTTCATCGTGGCGGCATCTAATCTGCGTGCCGCGAACTACAACATCGCGCCGGCCGACCGGCTCAACAGCAAGCTCGTCGCGGGCAGGATTATTCCGGCCATCGCCACGACCACGTCACTCGTCGCGGGCCTCGCTTGTCTGGAATTATACAAGGTGGAGCGATGTGATACGCTGTAGAATTGCTTGTAAGATAATTTCTTCAAATTTCCCAGCCAATCGTGATGTCTGAACACACTTTTAGCTAAGGCGGCCGGAAAACGAGAATCAGTTGTAGTGCCAATTGAAGAACATTTTTGTTGAGATTTAGGTGGAGTGAGTTTGCTCCAGTGGGTATGAGTGCGAGTGAGCCCCAAGCGCAATACATATTTCCTAAGTGGGACTGAGTGAGCTCAACTATTTTATGTATACATGTGTTTTTAAAACTTATGCTCATCAATGAAGAAATTCGTTAGCTGGGTCCCCGTTTCACCTACATTCGACAGCACTTATTTTGTGCCGTTTCGTCCTAACATTGCATATATGCTGCTTCAGCAACGTAATAACGCATGTATACAACGACGCCTCGGCATCAGATACTCTACAAGCGACATGAAGGCGTATGGCGGCACCTAGTTGTCTCATTTGAAATCATGACTATCAGGCATTGCAGAAGTGAGTGAGTGAGTGAGTGAGTGAGTGAGTGAGTGAGTGAGTGAGTGAGTACTCGTTAGTAGTCCTATTGCGGAAGCCAGTGTCGATCGCAATGACACATTTGTACTAGCCTTGTGCGAGTGGTGTCACAGGATCGTGACGCGGACGGAGGGAGCAGACGGGGTTCAGGTTGAACTGTTTATTGGGCACTTTTCTGTTATTGGGACGAACTTGTGGCCACGTAAAAGTCGTCAAGTCAGATTACTGCAAGACACTAATTGTGGTGAACAGAGCGTTGGCCGTTAATCAAATGACGAACGCTGAAGTGCATCGACATTTATACATGCGCCGTCAAATATTCCAGCGCTATCGCTAGCGGCCACGTCTGTTCCAGAATAATATGTTCACGTTGTGGGCGTAATCTTAACAAAATGATCTACGACAGCCCGGAAGCTTCTGGAACACTGCAGGCACGGTTTGCGCTGAGAATTACAGTGCAACGGGGCGATAACAAACCTTGAGGAAGGATATTGATTTATATGTGGAGTTCAACGTCCAAAAAGCATCATATGATTATGTGAGACACCGTAGTGGAGGGCTCCCTGAAATTACAACCACCTGGGACTCTTTACCGTGCACTCAAATCTGAGCACACGGGCCCACAGCATTTTCGCTTGCATTGAAAATGCAGCCGCCACAGCCGGGATTTGATCCCGCGACCTGCGGGTCAGCAGCCGAGTACCTTAGCCACTTGACCACCACGGTGGTCAAGACTTATGGACAGAATGTGGCAATAGTGAATTTTATGTTGGAAGTGAAAGCGAAGCGAACAGTGATTTGGTCGAGTAATATTGAAGTGAGTTGAAATAGTATATATCATATATCACAAAGAAAATGATCATGTTTGTCAAAACCCAATTCACCTGAAATTTATTTTTTTTAATTGAAACAAGGCCCGCGAGAATGTCATTCTCAACGGTTCAAAGCAAAAGTACAAGCAAATTCGAATTGCAGGGTTTGATGTTCGGCAGAATGCAAGTGATAACCTGTAAAACATGCTAAGTTTTATTTTTTTTTATACATAGGCATGTAAACCGGTATAACAAGCTTTTAGGTTTAAAAATAGAAAAAAGAAATAGTTTATTTGGTTGGGGGAAGGGATAATGTGTTCGTTTCACCTGGAAGTAAGGCTTTGCGGCAATGCTTATTCGTGGTATAGCATTTCTCCACTGCAGTGAAACCACATTTATAAACGGGTTACGCATGGATTTATTGATACACCCATTCGTTCATTTCGAATGCTCTAAATTTCTTGTAATTTGAATTCAATTCAGAGTGAATTCGAATACGGTAATATTTGTTCGAATATTCACGCAAGCATAATTTATACCCACTTGCCGTTCTCAGTTGGTTCAGGAGCACGAGAAGCCGGAGCTATACAGAAACAGCTTTGTCAACTTGGCGCTGCCCTTTTTCGGTTTCTCGGAACCCGTTCCACCTCAATTTAAAAAGGTATGCTTCTAGATAATTTTTTTTCATTCTGAAACCACATCTCACGTATACCCGTGCCATGCGAAAAGGTTGCGAATGATGAAATTCGAGCTTTCTGAAATACCGTATTTATTCGCATTTTACTAACAATTGCTAACGCTGTTTAATATTGTGTAATATCTGTCAATTTTCAGTTCGTGTTTGTTCGTGTTAACGAATGCGTCCAATTATTCTAATATCATGTATTACACGTTAAATTATGGCTCTTTTTGGCTAGTTCTGACGACAGTTCTAGCTTGTGTGCATTTTTGCGGGAACAATGAGTCTTGTTCTCAGACTGTACACCTCCATAACATCTACATCAAATCCGTTGATTCTTTCTCCAACACAGGCATCAGAGTAGGCTCCGTCGGCATTTTTCTTCTGATAGTGCTTTAAACAGTATAAATTAGCCTTCCAGGCTTCGACGCAGTGTAATGCGGGTTGAAAAAGAAGCCAATCTTTAAAAGGCATTGGGGAGTCAGATACCAATACTGCTATTATGTATTTCACTCGCTCGACTGTAATTTGAGGACCTGGTAGTCTCTTGCAGAGAAATGGTACAGAGTGAATCGGGATGCATATAGCGCTCTTTTAAATTTGTTTTTAGAATGCGCTATTGCAAAAATTGCATCAATGAATCGGCAAGCCAGAGTTAGATTGATCTTTTAAACCAAACATCTTTGTCGATTCGACAAAATATTTTCGTGGGCTTCTTAATAGCGCACATGTTAACCTGTCATATATAATAACGTTTATTTAACATCGTGCGTTTGAGCCACCGGTTGAGACATACTATGTGAATAAATAGCGTCTTGTCATTGAGGCATGTCACCTTAGTATTGTCTCTAAAGTACAATATCTGCAGGGACACACTGTAGGCTTATTGCGGAAGTTATGGGTTTAGTTCACGTTTCGTGACAAGCTACCTTTAGGCGTTCACTCTCTTTGTCGGTTACTGTAATATTTATTGATTTCTGTCAAACGTAGCAAATCCTTATATGTGCGAGTTTTCCATAGCATAGCCACGCGTGCCAGCCATCGCATTCAGATAAAACACGGAAAGATTTTTTTAATTAGGAGCTTGCGTCTACTTTTATGCCGGCTAGTGGAAACGACAGTGCGAACGGGAAAGGATAAAGAAAACACTGCGTGTGGGCAGAGCTAATGTCACCTAGAAGAATATTATCAGGCCTGCTCACTGTCGCTGTGACGTCACTGTTTTGTCCGAGCCAGTGCGTATGGGGAGGCTGTGAATTCATTGCCGCCTTCGTCTCCCGTTAAAAGATAAAGCATGCGTGGCTAGTTTACATGTTTAAAAGCTTTATTCTGCCTTTTTGGTAATAAAAGCGCTAATAAAAAGCGCTATCGAACGTGTGGTCGATCTATGACAGCTAAATTTGATTGGCCAGTAGAGTAACGAAATAAATAAATTAAGTTTTATTCATTTTGTTTTTACACACACACAGACGCACGCACACACGCTATCTAAAGCGTGCAGAGAAACTGTTCCTACTCATTTGCAAAGTTTTTGCAGTTTTATTTGTACTCTTTCGAATACCTGTCTTGATAGACACGTAGTTGTTGAGGAGAGTGTGTACTGCTGCTACAAGTATGTAATTCAGCAAAATATCAGGGTGACGACCACTGCGAGAGAAAACAATCTTTAATTTCACAAAAATCTCTTGTGACAGACACAAGGAGTGGCGTTTCCTTTTTTGTTTCGGCCCAATTTGCGAGAGAGAGAGAGAGAGAGGGAGAGAAAGAGAACTCTTTATTGAAATGCAGAGAATTTAGCTGGCATGTAAAATTCGCTGACTTGCTACTCTGTGTGGGGAAGGGGATTGAGGATTGAAAGTACAAATAATAAGAGAGAGAAAAAAAGTCAAATGGTAAATATAGACGATAGAATAAAAAGAAAAGAAAGGAAAAGGCCACCTCTTTGACCATTGAATGAGGGCGCGCGTTATTAGTTTTTTCGTGGTGTCAAGCTGCAGCTACAGCTTGTCTAGCTGACCAATGCTGTCCAAGTACCAAACAAAAGTTTCATAGCTCGCCTCTGTAAAGTGGGGCAGGCTAAAGGTCCCAATACACAGTCAAGGAAGAAAGTTCTCTCGGTTACAGAACGCATGCAATGTCGTAAAGCGCGCGCTCCTCAGCATACGCTCTACACTCAAACAATATATGTTCCACAGATTCTACGGAGCCACAGTTGTTGCAATACGGACTCATTGGCTGACCGAAGCGGTACCGTAGGCTGTTAACATAGGCACTCTTTAGACGCAGACGATGGTATAGCGTTTCCAGATGGCAAAGAATTTAGAATGAGTCTTGTTCTCAGATAGGGGTCGATTGAGTGAAAGAAGGCATAATGATGTGTCGGAAGGTTCCAGCGTCTCCTATTTTCTTCAATTGCAAGAGTTTTGGCCATCTGAGCTCCATCTAATTTAGTGAAATAAGTTCATCTGTAATTGTGGTGTCGAAGACCCTTGCGTGCTGCTTCATCTGCTTTTTCGTTGGCGAAATTTCACAATGAGCCGGTATCCACTGAAATCTGATAGAGTGTCCAGCGGTCACAGCCAGATGGTGGAGATATACTATGTCGAATGAAATGGGTGAGAATTCGTTTTCTTTAGGAGGTTGAACAATATCTGCAGCGTTTCTTTGAAGTCGGTGAAAATTTACCCATCGGTCCGGCGTTTGGCGCGAGATGTAAAGAACACCTTATTTGATGCGACGAAGTTCTGCTGTTGTCGAGGTTGTCTTCCATTGCAGTCTACATGATAGCAATTGTCTTGTAGAAGAGATATAAAGTCCATAAGCGGAAGTCTCCTGGATGGTTGAGGCGTCGGTGTAAATGTGCGAGTGTTGACCATAGTTCTCAGCTAAGAAGAGAGTAATCTGCGTCAACGCAGCCTGTGACATTCTTCTCTTTGCCCCATTGATGCCAAATACAGCTATTCTTTTATAATTAGAGGCGAAAATGTCCAGGGAGGAAATGTTGCAGGCATTAATTTTTGTGGCTGATTAACAGGGGAGAGTTGAAGCATTCGCACAGCTTGGCTGAACGAAGAATTGCTGTGCATTAGGTGAACTCAGTACAAGGAAATGCTTTTTACCTTGTAATACATGTCGAAGATGTGTACGCATGGTTTCTTGTATAGAGCTGACATGCAGTGGGAGACATCCTGCTTCCGCTACAGTTCCCAATGCTGATGAGCTCTTCGGGAGCCCTAGACATATTTGTAGGCAGCTGCTGCGTGTGGCTTCCAAAATTCTCTTATTTTCTGGGAATAATCGGTGAAGCACCGGTAGACAATAGCGTAATGTTCCTTCAATGTATGCTTTCTGAAGCAGTACCCTTGAGAGGAAACTACATCCCCATCGTGTTCCAGCCATGAATTTGAAGAGTTGAGTGACTGCTACTATTCTAGTTCGAAGTTTCTTCACCTGAGGAGACCAGGAAAGATTTCTGTCGATGATGAGTCCCAGAAATCTTTGAGACCGTACATAGCTCAGCGGCCGTCCACCGAGTAGTAGTGCATACTTCCTCATTTTCTTTCTCGTGAAAGCAATGGCTGTGCTCTCTTCTGGTGAAAGGTGCATGCTGTTGCGAACGACGGACCGATCCCGCTGAAACCACCACTGTTGCGAAAGACGGGGACGCCAACACGGCCCCGAAGGAGCCACCGCTTTCAACTCCGCCGGGAAGGTCACCAGCCGTTTGGTAGCGTATGTTTCTCAGCCCGCGACTGCTTCTGCGCAGAGCTGATAAGACGAGCGGACGAGACGACGGTGAGTTAGACAAGGTTTATGTACAGCATATATACAGAGGCGTTACAATTTCGGCACTGGGGCCGACAGAGACTCGAAGAGCCGAGCTCTCCTCTCTAACACATAGGTCAGCCTTTCGCCTAAGACCGCTGACTCACACACATGTCGGCTCTCCGACATGGGGACTCCTCTCTCTCGTAGGACCGCCGATCGCGACGCGCCGCAGGGCTTCTTTTATTTACACCGGGTCCAACCAAAATGTCCAATCAGAAGCGCCGCTGGTCGTCAGGGCAGATTCCGCCAATGGGGGTCGCCGCGCCATGCGTCAGACCACCAGACACGCGGACGCCGGCTCGCTGTCACGCGCGCAGCTGACTCAATGCACGTGGGCCAGGGAGGCGCCGCGCGTGTTCACTCCGTCGAGTTGATCGCGCCAGGCGGACTGCGGGCTGGCCTTGACCCAGATTGCCTCTTTCCGAGGCACGGACGTTTGACGAGGACTCGCTGGCATAACAGCACCCCCGCCGCCAGACAATGCACCGGAAAGACGAGCTGCTTCCACGGGGCTCGGATGTCAGGTGCGCTCGTTCGCCAGGTCCCTCCAGGTTCGCCTCCAGGGCCATGGGGGAGAATACAGCTTCAGACTGTTCCGGGAACACATTCCACTTTTGACGACGGATCCCAGCTCCACTGGCTTGTCGCCACAACTTGCTGGCCAACTTCGCTCGTCTCTTCTGACCATCTTCGGTTTCAGCACTTGTCGATGGTTCTGCAACTTGCTAAGAACGGTTCGACAACACACGACACAAGCAAGTGCCCCCGGTCACCCGACAGAACACCAGACAAAGTATAGTACAACATATACCTATCTACGTGTTTATCGGAATTTTGTTCCCTCTACATCAAGAGGCACATGTGGGACAAAAGACCCCTAAAATGACAACTCAATTTTTTTTTCCCACGTACAACAACGTAACGGATTAGAATACCACATAAAGTTGACCCCTTGAGATCACTCTGAACGAGAGCGCTCAGCCCAGGTCGTGATGAGGTCAAAATTTTGCCCCGAATCGCCAGCCAGAAACCGAAAGGTTGAGAAGGTACTAACTAAACGCACTGCTCAATGCACCTGCATTAACGTTTACCTTTCTTTTTTTTTCTCTTTAGCGAACGTCAAAGTTGCGCTGTGGAGCAACATGCTCCACCTC